TGGAGGTCAGGGCCGTGGACCACGATGTCATCCAGATAGACCGCCACCCCAGGTATTCCAGCGAGGATGGTGCTCATCACCTTCTGGAAGCAGCTGGGGGCGGAGCTAAGTCCAAAAGGCATGCGTGTATATCTGAACACGCCAGCATGTGTGACAAAGGCCGTGAGGTCTCTGCTAGCTGCATGGAGAGGTACCTGAAGATAACCCTGACGAAGGTCAAGCTTCGTGAAGATCGTGGAGCCATGGAATTGTGCGGTCAGCTCCTCAGCTGTAGGCAAGGGGTACTTATCCGGGACAACGGCCTTGTTCACAGCACGGAGATCCACACAGGTCCGGATTCCACCGGACTTTTTGGTTGCAATGACCAAGTTTGAAATCCAGGGGGCAGCGTTGACTGGCTCAATGATGCCTGCATCCAACTGTGACTGGAGATCTTTTGTGACGTCATCACGCAGTGCAAAGGGAATGCGCCGCAGGGGCTGCATGACTGGGGTCACTTCCGGATTCACTAGGGGCTGTGAGGCAGCCCAGTCCATCAAACAGAGTCGGCCAGTTCTGTTGCCATGTGCAGGTAACCTGGTAGATAGCTGACTCACTGTCATCTCTCAGTGTGAATCCCAAGCCTGTGAAGAGGTCGAGGCCCAGGAGGTTGGCACCCCGCTTTGCAACATGAAATGTGAATGATGGCAGATGTTTGGTGCCGTAGTGTACTGGGACCTGGAGGGTGCCTACAATGTCTATCTTAGATCTACCGTACCCACACAGGGCAGTGGAGGGCTGTTGGAGTGGTAGGTGACTGAAAAACTTGTAGTAAGTGGCAAGGTTGAGCTACGACACCGCAGCGCCAGTATCCAGCAGCAAAGGCAAACCCACCTCACCCAGCTGCACAGTGCATGTCCTGAATGACACATGGTTGGTGGAGACGGTTCGGATTTCCGTGTGTTCATGTTGAGAGTGAGATGAAACTAAGGGCCTGTTCTGGGTGGAGCTAGTAGCAGGGGCAGAACGACACACTTTCGCAAAGTGATTGTATTTTGAACAGTTCTTGCATATTTTCCCACGGGCTGGGCAGTTTGAAGCCCTTGAATTGTGAGAGCTAGCCCCACAGTTGCCACAGCTACTTCTGTTTGTTTGTCTGTGTGCCTGCTGCACGGGCATGTCGGTGTCTGTGTCCATGCAGCTATCGACGCGGGAGGGCGTGCGCAGCGCGTGATCGTTGTAGTGCGCCTGCTCGGGCTGAAGCTGCTGTGTGAGAATGGCTGGGGGCCGAGTGTATGCTGCAGAGCTGTCTGTTAGCATAGAAGAGCATTCCAACGCCGCTTCAACCTGGAGTGCTATTTTAATAGCTCCATCCAGTTGTAAATTATCCGATTCCAAAAGCAGTTTCTCCCTTGTCTTTTCACATAACGTCCCCTCTATCAACTGATCCCTGATGATCTCGTCCTGAAGTGTCCCGTAGTTACAAGAGCTAGCCAAATCCCTCAGATTAGCCACGTAGCTTTGAATGGACTCACCCGGCCGTTGGTGTCTCTTCCGTAGCCGGTAGCGTCGGAGGAGCACTCGCTCTTTCCCGGCGAAGTGGTTCCGTAAGAGGCTGACTGCAGCAGTGAATGTAGGAGCCAATCCAAGCGCTCTGAAAATCCTCTGTCCCTCTGTACCAAGGCAGTGACGGAGCAGTGCTGTCCTCCGCTTGTCGGGGATTGTAGAAAAGTCCATAGCTTCTAGATAAGTGTTAAAACTATCAAGCCAGTTATTCCACGGGACTGGAGGTTCGCCAGGCACGGCGAGGAATGGTGCTGGCGGTGGTAAACTGAATTCAGCCATCTTCGTCGCCAATGTTATATCTAGCCTAGTTGTAGAAGAACGGACATCTGCACAGTTTCACATTGAACATCACTCTGTCGTTTAATGACATGTGCCACGCATTCTGACAACCCATTCATCCGTAACGCAGCACACTGTCGTAAACCATAACAACGTACAGTACGACGTACAGCACGTCGTACCATACATAACATATATATATACAGTTGAAGTTGGAAGTTTACATACGCCTTAGCCAAATACATTTAAACTCAGTTTTTCACAATTCCTGACATTTAATCCTAGTAAAAATTCCCTGTTTTAGGTCAGTTAGGATCACCACTTTATTTTAAGAATGTGAAGTCAGAATAATAGTAGAGAGAATGATTTATTTCAGCTTTTATTTCTTTCATCACATTCCCAGTGGGTCAGAAGTTCACATACACTCAATTGGTATTTGGTAGCATTGCCTTTAAATTGTTTAACTTGGGTCAAACGTTTCGGGTAGCCTTCCACAAGCTTCCCACAATAAGTTGGGTGAATTTTGGCCCATTCCTCCTGACAGAGCTGGTGTAACTGAGTCAGGTTTGTAGGCCTCCTTGCTCGCACACACTTTTTCAGTTCTGCCCACACATTTTCTATAGGATTGAGGTCAGGGCTTTGTGATGGCCACTCCAATATCTTGACTTTGTTGTCCTTAAGCCATTTTGCCACAACTTTGGAAGTATGCTTGGGGTCATTTTCCATTTAGAAGACACATTTGCGACCAAGCTTTAACTTCCTGACTGATGTCTTGAGATGTTGCTTCAATATATCCACATAATTTTCCTTCCTCATGATGCCATCTATTTATCTATATATCTATTTTGTGAAGTGCACCAGTCCCTCCTGCAGCAAAGCACCCCCAAAGCATGATGCTGCCACCCCCGTGCTTCACGGTTGGGATGGTGTTCTTCAGCTTGCAAGCACCCCCCCTTTTTCCTCCAAACATAACGATGGTCATTATGGCCAAACAGTTCTATTTTTGTTTCATCAGACCAGAGGACATTTCTCCAAAAAGTACGATCTTTGTTCCCATGTGCAGTTGCAAACTGTAGTCTTGTTTTTTTATGGCGGTTTTGGAGCAGTGGCTTCTTCCTTGCTGAGTGGCCTTTCAGGTTATGTCGATATAGGACTCGTTTTACTGTGGATATAGATACTTTTGTACCTGTTTCCTCCAGCATCTTCACAAGGTCCTTTGCTGTTGTTCTGGGATTGATTTGCACTTTTCGCACCAAAGTACTTTCATCTCTAGGGGACAGAACGTGTCTCCTTCCTGAGCGGTATGACGGCTGCGTGGTCCCATGGTGTTTATACTTGCGTACTATTGTTTGTACAGATGAATGTGGTACCTTCAGGCGTTTGGAAATTGCTCCCAAGGATGAACCAGACTTGTGGAGGTCTACAATTTTTTTTCTGAGGTCTTGACTGATTTCTTTTGATTTTCCAATGATGTCAAGCAAAGAGGCACTGTGTTTGAAGGTAGGCCTTGAAATACATCCACAGGTACACCTCCAATTGACTCAAATGATGTCAATTAGCCTATCAGAAGCTTCTAAAAACATGACATAATTTTCTGGAATTTTCAAAGCTGTTTAAAGGCACAGGCAACTTAGTGTATGTAAACTTCTGTCCCACTGGAATTGTGATACAGTGAATTATAAGTGAAATAATCTGTCTGTAAACAATTGTTGGAAAAATTACTTGTGTCATGCACAAAGTAGATGTCTTAACCAACTTGCCAAAACTATATTTTGTTAACAAGGAATTTGTGGTGTGGTTGAAAAACGAGTTTTAATGACTCCAACTTAAGTGTATGTAAACTTCCGACTTCAACTGTATATATATACCATACACAAAAATGTATGCACACATGACTGTAAGTCGCTTTGGATAAAAGCGTCTGCTAAATGGCATATTATTATATACACACACAGTACAAGTCTGTATACCACCCCTACCTTGTCACAACACAACGGATTGGATCAAACATGTGCAAAGCTGTCATCAAGGCAAAGGGTGGCTACTTTGAAGAATCTGAAATATAAAATATATTTCGATTTGTTTAACACTTTTTTGGTTACAATATAATTCCATATGTGTTATTTCATAGTTTTGATGTCTTCACTATTATTTTACAATGTAGAAAATAGTTTTAAAAAATAAAGCAAAACCCTGTAATGAGTAGGTGTGTCCAAACTTTGGAGTCCACTTTAACATTATGGGGTATTGTGTGTAGGCCAGTGACAAAAAAATCTCAATTTAATCAATTTTAAATTCAGGCTGTAACACAACAAAATGTGGAAAAGGTCACCACATTTAAAATACCCAACACAGTGATTTTGCGGGACAGTGTAGCCTACGTGAATACATGTTGGCCTCATCGCATCCAAATCATTTGATCTCAATCAGTTTCATGGGAATATGCATTTAGTCTAATGCGGCCATTTAATTAGGCTACTTTTGTACCTCTTCATCAGAAGCACTCATTTTGTAAGTAGTTACACCTAACTGGCCTCTCTTCAAGTTTAGCTGGAATTTAGCCTGAAAGGATTTGATAAAAGTTGGTTGCCTATGATATTGGCCTATGTCTCCTCTTGCGCTGCGCAGAATATCAGATCTCAACAATGATTTGAGAAGTGTTTAACATCACCAGTAGATATATTTTCATAAGCGCAACGTGACTGCAAGAGACTATTTGTAATGTCTGACTGAAATACGGGACAAATCAACTTTGTTTTCCTAAATTAGTAGTGTTTGAATTTGTTGATAAAAGCGGAACATTATTGTTTAGTTACGGGACACGGAACTAAGGGCCAAAATGAGGGACTGTCCCGCAACAGGGACATGTGGTTACCCTAGCACTCAAGGGCTGTGAATACTTTCTGAAGGCACTGTATGTATGGTAGTCAGAATCTGCATAGATAGACCAACGTGGAAGTTCAAAGTACAGTATGCTGATTTACATTTACAATGTTCATTCTATTGCAAGTTGTTATCTCTAGTTACCTAGGCACTTTCTTTGGTTTTGATTTTGGCCCTAATATACTAATAAACGCAACTGGGGAATGTTTTTTCACTCCAGCTCAGCAGGTGGCGGTGTGTACTGTTTTGTACAGTAAATTCACGCGACTAGTAGAGGAAACCCTCAACCCAAACAAATCGTCGTGTGACGTGGCTAGTCGCGCAAGACCTTGCAAAATAAATAATAAAATCAAGAATATTATACGAAATTTCGGATACAATTGCTAGGTTTGTAACCTTTATCTAAACAATGTAACTTCTTTTGTAGACTTATCTATCACCTTTCTACAAGAAATGGTAGCAATATTGGATAAAAGCAGGCTAGCTAGCTAATGTTAGCTAGTAAGCTAACAGCTAGCTAAGGGAACGTGCAATGTCTAGCCATTAAAGTGGAACTGACAGCGTTTTAGCTACTTTGCAGATATGAAACGAACAGACAATCATAATATCAGTAAAAAATATAAAATTCCCAGTTTATGCTTCAAAACTAACTTCATACGAGGTTTTAAAAATATGTTATATTTGACTCAAAATTCCATGACGTACAGTAAGGCATTTTTGGCAGAATAGATGGATGCAGTTCAATGCATGATTCATATAATTAACCAATACATTTCTTGGTAGTCCAACAAATATTGCTATCAGGTTCTAAATCACAGCTTGCCTGGTACATTGTTTTCTGCCTCCACCTATTCGGGATGCACTGTTTCAGTTTCAATGACTCGGTATTTTTAACAAAAATTGACAACTGTGACTAAGGCAGGGAATGTCTACAATGAAACTAGAAAAGGCAATTATCACAAGTCAGTCTTAACGTGGCTAATAGGTTAGCGCCCATGTCAAACACAAGGCCCGCGGGCCGAATAGGACACACAAGCGAGTATAAATGAGTCAACAGTTGAGTCATCTACTTTATGAAATTATAGCCTGATGCGCTGCTTTCATGTGTCCGGTTTACAGCGGGCAGCCGAGGGAAAGTGTACAGACACATGCCACAGTCCTAGTTAGGCTACTAAAATGTTGCAGTATGGCTTTGGTTTTTAAAGCTTGACAATGAATAGCCAAAAAACTAAACCTGCAACAAAACACCATGCAAAGGAGAAACATGTAGGCCTATTACAGCAACATTTGAACAGTAGCCTAGGCTGGCTACTCAACTACAATACATTTTGAGTGCACCATACAGCAGTGCTGCAATTAACCGCGTCGGTGATCCATGCATTGGAAAAAAATGAAAAAGATGTTTTAAGTTCAAATGTTACAACAACTTATAGCTACAAATATGTATCTCTTTGTTTAAACATGTTAAAATGCTATATACAGCATTATAAAGTGGACATTATAAAGGGCCATATTTGTTTCTAATAAAACAATAGCCAGTTTGGGTCGCAGATGCACGTTGTTTTTATAAAAACAAATAGGCTATGTCTGGCCCTCGAATTCGTTTTCAATATGGCCCTTTTGCAGATTGAGTTTGTCACCCCTAGGCTAGCGGATCTATTTATGTAGCTATTTATTTATTTATTTAGCAAGCTAAAAACAAGGAGCCTAACGTTAGCTGCTGGGAGGATGTCTTGTCATTGGAGGAGTGGGTGAGTGACCGACTTTTTCCCCTCATCATTTTTCGGTGGCTACAGCTAAAGATTCAGGTGTCATTTGGTTAGCTAGCAAGAAATGTGAATCGCTTTGCTAGATAGCTAGCTATGTTGAATTTGAACCATTGACGTCATCAGACCCGGGCTTTTAGCCTCGAATGATTTTGGCTCAGCCCGCGTCTTTTGCCCACAATTGGAAATGCACTGATATTATTCTGCATCTACATAGAGAGACATAGGCCCACACAGGACAGACAGAGGAGTGTACAGGAGAACAGAGAGAGAGAGAGAGAACACAGGTATTGTGGTTAGTGATAAGTTAAGACAGTTAAATGTTCATCAGGTTTAAGATTGAGTGAACTGCTATTATCATTAAGGAACAGAAATGATCCCATATTTTACCTTTAGCTGAATTCAGGTAAACATTATTTGACTGTTCTCCTGTTCTTCATATTGCTCCTCTCTCTCTTTCGCTCTGTGTGTGTGTGTGTGTGTGTGTGTGTGTGTGTATGTTCAGAATACTCCATATTGCCACAGTACTGATACTATTCAATCTCTGTAATAATATAGGGGATTCAGGAAAAGCAGAACTTCAGACAGCAAGGAAAAGAGGGGAGCGAGTGAGAGAAAGGAGCAGACAGGACAGAGAGAGGGGAGGCCCACACAAGACAAACATGTATCATATTCCTCTCAAGCCAGAGGAAGTAGTTGTTGCTAAACATTACCTAAAAAAAAGAAAGCAAGATGCCACTTCTGGCATGTCCTGTGTGTATAAACTGTTAGACCCTGATATGTTCCCATCACTGAAGGCAATCATACAGGTTGCGCTGACCATCCCAGTTAGCAGCTGTGAGAGATCTTTCAGTGCATTAAGATGTCTACATACCTGGCTTAGGAGAACAATGACCCAAGATAGAATGCATCACCAGGCTGTCTTGACAATTGACAAAGATATAGTTAACACCCTTGGAAAATAGTGAAATCATAGACAGGTTTGCACAGCTGACAAATAGGTGATATAGATTGATGCTACCCTCAACAGGAAAGTAGCTTTCTTTTACTGTTGTAACGCAACACACACACAAAGAGTTGGGATTTTTTACTTACAGTATCATTTTGATTAATTTCTAATCTGCATGGATGGACTATCATCCTATTACTGTGTAATATAACTCGCAAACATTGTGAATATTTAGTTGGCGAAAGGATTTTATGCTGGTATGTACATGTGTGTAAAATTGTGAAGTGTTGTCACTACAGTAAAACCCACAAACTTTGTCAGGGTCCTCAGGGGAAGAGGGGGGTTGGAGGGGGTATATTTGTTTTTGTGTAATTAAATGGGTAGAAATATTGCCCTGTAGCTAATTTACCTTGGAATCTGTGATTTATTACCACAAATACTATAAAATTATGATTTTCAAGCCTGTTTGGTTGCTGAGTTTGTACATATTATCAGCAAAAGTTGTATATGTCCCCCCACTCTACAGTTATAATACAAGCCTACTGCTAAACTGAGTTTACTCAATTCCAACATAATCCAAAGGATGGCAGCCTAAAATCCCAATCCTGCTATATTGCAGTAACCATAACATTATTTCATGCAAAACATTAATTTGTGGTCTAGGCTGCCACCCTTTGGATTATTTTGAAACTGCACAGTGCGCGCAGCATGACAAACTCTCATTATTAAGCAGTAATGTGACTAACATCATCATTAGGCCAATCAAATATTGTACATGGTTTATGAAAACATTGCAACAAAATTATGATAAAAAATAATTTTCCCAAAAATATTTCTTCATGGAAAATGACCATCTAGTTATGCACTTGTAATACATTTTTATAAATATTATTAACAGGAGGTATGCAATTACCTAACACCATATTCCATTGGTTTACTGACCACAATCCATTGAATTAATATTAAGAAGTGTTGATTATTTGGCGTCAGGAGAGCACTGTGCATGGAAGAAACCAGTGAGATATGCAACAGAGTTGAAACCAATTTATGCTTAATCTGAAAATGTGGTCGAGGGCGCCCTTACGAAAAAATATATACACACAACTGCAGTTAGAGTGCAGTATAACTGCAGTACGCTACAAATACTGCATCCAAAAGAGCACTTTCTTTTACTGCAGTACTTTTGTAGTGTAACTGCAGTTACAGTGAAGTATAACTGCAGTTCAACTGTAGTACACTGCAGTTATTCTGCAATTACTGCGTCCAAAATAGCACAGTCAACTGCAGTTAATGCACTTTTACTGTAGTTTCAATACTGCAATCTTTTTTTGTAAGGGCTCGGTATGGAGGGTGTGACGCAATTGGGAAGCCTCTCGGAGGCCAAATTGCACTCCATACCGCATCGCGGTGCGCCTCGTAAATGTAACAATGCGGAGGGCTCCATATAGCTCCGAATTGCCATGATTGGTTGACTGTAGGTGGAGGCGGGAGGTCCTGTATAAACACAAACTCGCTTCCTTGACAATTTCCTTCACAAGCAGGGACGAGCAGGTTACTATTCCCCATCGGTTATCAGTGCAAGTTTGACGGCCAACTATCTGAAAAAGTTTGAGAGGGTTTATATATTGTTCCCTCAGATTTTAGCTCATCTCGCTCTGCTAGCATTAGTTGATAATCTTGTTGATGACGTGCATGGGCAACTGAGGGAGAGAGAGCCTACCTTTTCATGGTTGTTTGATCAATAGGACTGTGATGTTCCCAAATGTAAGAGGACTCCCGTGGTATTTACACTGATCAAAAATATAAACGCAACATACAATTTCTACGATTTTACTGAGTTACAGTTCATATCAGGAAATCAGTCAACTGAAATAAATAAATTAGGCCCTAATCTATGGATTTCACATGACTGGGAATACGGATAGGCATCTGTTGGTCAAGGATACCTTAAAACAAACCAGGGGCGTGGATCAGAAAACCAGTCTGGTGTGACCACAATTTGCCTCATGTAGCGCTACATCTCCTTCGCATAGAGCTGATCAGGCTTTTGGTTGTGGCCTGTGGAATGTTGTCCCACTCTTCAATGGCTGTGCGAAGTTGCTAGATATTGGCGGGAATTGGAACATGCTATTGTACAGGTCGATCCAGAGCATATCAAACATTGTCAATGGGTGACATGTCTGAGTATGCATGCCATGGAAGAACTGGGACATTTTCAGTTTCCAGGAATTGTGTACAGATCCTTGCGACATGGGGGCCGTGCATTATCATGCTCAAACATGAGGTGATGGCGGCGGATGAATGGCACGACAATGGACCTCAGGATCTCGTCATGGTATCTCTGTGCATTCAAATTGCCATCGATTAAAATGCAATTGTTTGTTGTCCGTAGCTGATGCCCGCCCGCCTGCCCATATCATAACCCCACCGTCACCATGGGGCACTCTGCTCACAACGTTGACATCAGCAAACTGCTCGCCCACACGATGCCATACAGGCTGTCTACCATCTGCCCGATACAGTTGAAACCGGGATTCATTGGTGAAGAGCACACTTCTCCAGCGTGCCAGTGGCCATTGAAGGTGAGCATTTTCCCACTGAAGTCGGTTATGATGCTGAACTGCAGTCAGATCAAGACCCTGGTGAAGACGAGCACGCAGATGAGCTTCCTTGAGACTATTCATGACAGGTTGTGCAAACCCACAGTTTCATCACCTGTCTGGGTGGCTGGTCTCAGTGAAGAAGCTGGATATGGAGGTCCTGGGCTGGCGTGGTTACACGTGATCTGTAGTTGTGAGGCCGGTTGGAGTACTGCCATATTCTCTAAAACAACGATGGGGAGGCAGTATATGGTAGACAAATTAACACTAAATAATCTGGCAAAAGCTCTGGTGGACATTCCTGCAGTCAGCATACCAATTGCACAGGCCCTCAAAACTTGAGACTTCTGTGGCATTGTGTTGTGACAAAACTGCAAATGTAAGTGGCCTTTTATTGTCCCCAGCACAATGTGCACTTGTGTAATGATCATGCGGTTTAATCAGCTTCTTGATATGCCACACCTGTCAGATGGATTTATTATCTTGGCAAAGGAGAAATGCTCATTAACAGGGATGTAAACACATTTGTGCACAACATTTGAGAGAAATAAGCTTTTTGTGCGTATGGAACATTTCTGGGATCTTTTATTCCAGCTCATGAAATATGGGACCAACACTTTGTGTTGCGTTTATATTTTAGTTCAGTACACATATTTTTAAAATCCGTTCAGGTGTATTTTGTGGCTTTTGGCGAATGCGTTCTAATGCTCTAAAGTCGCGCTGTTCAAAGTGAATGATGGCAGGCCCGTGTGGCAAATGGCTATTTTGCATACAGGCCAACTGTACCTCTGATTGGTTATGGCGCACCGGTCTGCGTAGACAGATGTTTTTATTTTATTAGGTTTTATTTACTGCAGTGTCTATTAATTTTCCAAACGCAGGGCAGCTTTCCCACTCTATATTGCTATAGAATTTTCACAAATGCCTTACTATATGTAATTCCCAAACATTCTATGAATTTATGAGAATGTGAAAATTACCATATCTAAGTGCTGGCTTGTCAGAAAAAAAGAAGGACAAAAATCATAATGTTCTTCCTGGGAGTGTATAATTACTTCCACTTTAATGTGCTGTCACTGGTGTTTTATGTTACACTGCCTACCTTGCCATTTTACGTTTGGCTCAGACAACTGTTATCTTAGTGTATCAGTCCCTAATCTGTAATTGAGCTAATCTAGCTAGCTAGGTAAACTAAATCTGCAAGAATAGCCTATGCCTTGTCAATATGGCAAGGGACCTCTACCTCCAGCTAATGATTGGATAGAATGTCCTTTTTAAAACTGTTTTTAGTTGCCATTATACACATTATGTTCTTATTTTATTTTCATCAAATAACAAAAGGTATGTGTTAAGATGTCGGACAGCGAAGCCCCCAGTGACCCTGTTGGGAGTTCCGAGGTGGCAGAGACAGAGGCACCACTGCAGCAACCCTCCCCTGTGACACTACCAGACAGTGCTCAACAGACACCAGACAGCGCTCCAAAGACACCAACTGGAGACAGCACCACAGATAACTCCACAGATGTCGCCCCGACCAGGAAGGGAAGGAAGACCAGGAAGAGACCAGAGCCAAAACCTCCAGTTGAAGTCCAGGAGACTCAGGAGGAGAAATCCAAAGTAGAGGAAGAGCCAGGCAAGGTAAGACATGCTGTGATACAGCTGGGTGAAAGATTCAACAAGCTTCACTTCTAACCTTAAAAGGCCAATCAGCAGTTGAAACAATAACAAAGCGTGTTCCCACCACTGTTTTGGTAAAATTCTGAGGGATGGAGCTGGAGAAATGTGAACTCTCAAATTTATAGACAGAGCTATGGATGCAGGGACTGACCATCCATGATATCAGAATTATAGTTTTAAACATGTTTTGAGGCTATACAGTGTTTGTTAACATTTACTTTGCTTAGAAACATTGGAGTAAAACAAGGTAACATTTTGGGTTCTGATGGTATGCAACTAAGCTCATGAGGCATTTATAAATTGTATTCTTCAAGAGTCAGTGGGTACATATACAGTGGGGAAAAAAAGTATTTAGTCAGCCACCAATTGTGCAAGTTCTCCCACTTAAAAGGATGAGAGAGGCCTGTAATTTTCATCATAGGTACACGTAAACTATGACAGACAAATTGAGAATCTTGCTTGTTTGTAGGTGACCAAATACTTATTTTCCACCATAATTTGCAAATAAATTCATAAAAAATCCTACAATGTGATTTTCTGGATTTTTTTTCTCAATTTGTCTGTCATAGTTGACGTGTACCTATGATGAAAATTACAGGCCTCTCTCATCTTTTTAAGTGGGAGAACTTGCACAATTGGTGGCTGACTAAATACTTTTTTCCCCCACTGTAATTAATTTATAAGTCAAAAAACTGATGTAGCAAATGCTGATTGTCCCTTTAAGGTCTGGATATGGTTTAGGTTTTTTATAGCCCTATAGGCTACAGTGGGGGGAAAAAGTATTTAGTCAGCCACCAATTGTGCAAGTTCTCCCACTTAAAAAGATGAGAGAGGCCTGTAATTTTCATCATAGGTACACGTCAACTATGACAGACAAATTGAGATTTTCTTTTCCAGAAAATCACATTGTATGATTTTTTATGAATTTATTTGCAAATTATGGTGGAAAATAAGTATTTGGTCACCTACAAACAAGCAAGATTTCTGGCTCTCACAGACCTGTAACTTCTTCTTTAAGAGGCTCCTCTGTCCTCCACTCGTTACCTGTATTAATGGCACCTGTTTGAACTTGTTATCAGTATAAAAGACACCTGTCCACAACCTCAAACAGTCACACTCCAAACTCCACTATGGCCAAGACCAAAGAGCTGTCAAAGGACACCAGAAACAAAATTGTAGACCTGCACCAGGCTGGGAAGACTGAATCTGCAATAGGTAAGCAGCTTGGTTTGAAGAAATCAACTGTGGGAGCAATTATTAGGAAATGGAAGACATACAAGACCACTGATAATCTCCCTCGATCTGGGGCTCCATGCAAGATCTCATCCCGTGGGGTCAAAATGATCACAAGAACGGTGAGCAAAAATCCCAGAACCAGACGGGGGGACCTAGTGAATGACCTGCAGAGAGCTGGGACCAAAGTAACAAAGCCTACCATCAGTAACACACTACGCCGCCAGGGACTCAAATCCTGCAGTGCCAGACGTGTCCCCCTGCTTAAGCCAGTACATGTCCAGGCCCGTCTGAAGTTTGCTAGAGTGCATTTGGATGATCCAGAAGAGGATTGGGAGAATGTCATATGGTCAGATGAAACGAAAATAGAACTTTTTGGTAAAAACTCAACTCGTTGTGTTTGGAGGACAAAGAATGCTGAGTTGCATCCAAAGAACATCATACCTACTGTGAAGCATGGGGGTGGAAACATCATGCTTTGGGGCTGTTTTTCTGCAAAGGGACCAGGACGACTGATCCGTGTAAAGGAAAGAATGAATGGGGCCATGTATCGTGAGATTTTGAGTGAAAACCTCCTTCCATCAGCAAGGGCATTGAAGAGGAAACGTGGCTGGGTCTTTCAGCATGACAATGATCCCAAACACACCGCCCGGGCAACGAAGGAGTGGCTTTGTAAGAAGCATTTCAAGGTCCTGGAGTGGCCTAGCCAGTCTCCAGATCTCAACCCCATAGAAAATCTTTGGAGGGAGTTGAAAGTCCGTGTTGCCCAGCGACAGCCCCAAAACATCACTGCTCTAGAGGATATCTGCATGGAGGAATGGGCCAAAATACCAGCAACAGTGTGTGAAAACCTTGTGAAGACTTACAGAAAACGTTTGACCTGTGTCATATTCAACAAAGGGTATATAACAAAGTATTGAGAAACTTTTGTTATTGACCAAATACTTATTTTCCACCATAATTTGCAAATAAGTTCATTAAAAATCCTACAATGTGATTTTCTGGATATTTTTTTTCTCATTTTGTCTGTCATATTTGACGTGTACCTATGATGAAAATTACAGGCCTCGCTCATCTTTTTAATTGGGAGAACTTGCACAATTGGTGGCTGACTAAATACTTTTTTTCCCCACTGTCCAAACGGTAGAGTCCGGTACAAATGTTTTCTCTCCATCTCTCGCTCTCCTCCAGGCATCCAGTGAGTTGACAGTATCCCAGGGAGGATGGGGCTACTGGGGGAGCTGGGGAAAGTCCATCATGTCAACGGCCTCAGCCACTGTGGCCACTGTAGGTGAGGAGATCAAAAAATGGATGGACATATTTTGATGTCAGAGTTTTTGGTTTGTCTCTGTCTGAGTAATAGCCCTTTTGTGTTCTCATTATGGTGTCATGTTAAATGTGTTTTTTTGTGAAACAATATGTCTGCCCTTTCAGTCAGCATATGTAAACTTTAAAAGATCTAAAAATAAATGTATTCCTTTCGTTTCATTCTAAGGCCAAGGGATCACCCAGGCTATTGAGAAGGCAGAGACTTCACTGGGAATCCCCAGCCCCACAGAGCTGTCTGCACAGATTAGAGAGGAGGACAAACAAGAGGGTAATGATGGCACACACGGGTCATCAACATGATCAACATGAGTCATCACTGTTGTAACTATGCACATTAGATTGATGTCTGACATGTATATTACTTCTAGGTGAACCCAGTAATGAGACTGATAAAGGGGAAGGAGATGGAGCATCGGCCATGGGAAGCGCCATGGGAATGTTCTCATCCCTCAGCAGTGTTGTTCAAAGCACTGTAAGAAACAATGCTTCTCTGCTTTTTTGACGATTACCATTATCATATGTTGTTTATGGGCAAAAGTGACTTGGTTACTGACTTAAATATCTATGGTCTATAGTCCTCTGTAGCTCAATTGGTAGAGCATGGCGCTTGTAACGCCAGGGTAGTGGGTTCGATCCCCGGGACCACCCATACGTAAAAATGTATGCACACATGACTGTAAGTCGCTTTGGATAAAAGCGTCTGCTAAATGGCATATTATTATTATTATTATTATATTCCAGGGGAAAACGGTCCTAACAGGAGGTTTGGATGCCCTGGAGTTCATAGGCAAGAAGACCATGGATGTCATAGCAGAGGGAGATCCAGGGTTCAAGAAAACAAAGGGTCTGATGATCAAGACTAACACTCTTTCTCAGGTGAATGGATGTTAGAGAAGCCACCTCCAGTGTTGTGCTTACACCTTATTTGTGCTGGAAAGCTTTCTGACCAAGATTGAATGAGGATTTTGTTTTGGCTGAAGGTCTTACGGGAGGCCAAGGAGCGAGAGGAGCAGCAAACAGCCAAGGAGTTTTCCTCCGACACGGAAAAGAAGGCCCATTACGGAATGCTGTTTGATGAATTCCAGGGCCTAGCCCACTTGGAAGCTCTGGAGATTCTCTCCAGGGAGAGTGAGTCAAAGGTAATACTGGGCAAGTTCCACATTTCTTACCTTGTACAAAGAAACAAGTAAACAGCCTCTCAAAACATTATTGATTGTGCACAGCCTTCACTTGATATTAAAACAACTTTTTGCACACTTGTAAATGGAGAACCTACAACCATGGCAACCTCTTGAGATATTTTAGCTCCTTTTAGTACAGGGGTCAGCAACAGATCAAAAAAGACTCTAAAATCACCAGGAATTCAGCTAAAATTGAGTTTAATTTAGGAAATCTGTTCCAAAATTGAGTTTAATTTAGGAAATCTGTTCCCAAGTATTCCCATAAATATGAAATGATTGTTATTTTTAAATACAATCTCTTTTTGGGCTTAGTTGTAATCAATTTGCGATGTACCAATTATTCTATTATTTTCCGGCCCCCTGACCATTCGCTCCGACAAAAATCGACCTGCTGCTGAATCTAGTTGCCTACCCGTTTTAGTAGATCTTATCTATGACTGAATCAGTTGTCTGTTGTGTTGTGTGGTGTAGGTGAAGTCTGTTCTGACCACTCTGTCTGGAGAGGAGCTGGCCCAACTCAAAGAGGACCTGAAGCTCATCAAGGAACCCTTCTCTCTGGTAGAGTTTGACGACGAGGAGGTGGAAGAAAAGAAAGGTAGCCTACTGTCACAGAACAGTCACATAAAGTCTACTATCACAATGTTACATTTACAGTCTTTTAGTACTCAAAACAGTGGTTATTTTAGCATGTAAATCTTGGTGGGGCAAACTCAACCAATTTTTTTTAGATGGATGCCAGCAAAGCCACTACAAAACATTAAACTATACATTAATAGCACTATAACGGTGACAAACAGTGCCCACAAACTGTTAGGGCCTACATAAAGCTGTCCCAACAGCGGAGCTTTCCTATCAGCACCATGGAATTGGACTGAATCTTTACCACCGCTACACCTGGCTATCAGCGGAGTCTGGCGGCGAAACAGTTCATTCATCCTCATTTACTGACTTTTTAAAAACCATAGCTGATATGGCTGACTTCTTAAATAAATATGGTTTCTACTGACTCCTTGTGGATTTGTGTAACTCGATAAGAACCGCATTCTCCTTCAATAATAATGAATGTCGACATGAGTTGTTACTTTTGAACCATACACAAACATTATAAAATGTATGTTCAGTAAATTCATAATGTTTGTTCTTTTATCATTAACACTTAACTCTAAGTATAAGCAAGTGCAAGCAAACGAGGTAGGCCTTGATTCAGCACTTTCAAAATGGACACAGACAGATTCAGATGTTAGTTCAGATCAATTCAGCAAGATGTTGAGGCCTTAACTTTACTCTTCTGTAAGTCACCACACGGAGAGCGAGAGAGAGCGACGCGGTTAGCCTAACATTTGAAGTATTTTATTAGGCCTATGTGGTCTAAAAAGGAATTAAAATACAATCACGAGCATCCAGTTACCACTATACCGACCAACAGACAGTGCATTGCGCAAACAAAACAACATTCGCAATATCAACTGGAATTACATGGGACTATTACTGAAAAAATATGGTAGATATAACGTGATTTGACATTTTATTTGTGGCCAATGACCTTGAGCCTTCTTGGACGGGCACCTGTATTGTAAATCTATAGCAGCACCCAAGGGCCAAGCTCTCCCTGTAGATTATGCAGTGACGTAGTGTCCCCATGAGTGACCGAACACTGAGCCAATCACGGTGCAACTAGAGAACATTACCAATACCTACGCTCTGTGCTTTCGCTGGCTGCCCCTCCACCACAGAAAGCACTGAGTTAGGCTGAAACACCTGCTTTTGGAGCTGTTACTCAAGAAAGAGAGTATGCGGCTTTATTAACTCAATTATTATAATTTTTGTTTGCAAACTGATTTGTAACAAGAATTAATGCCAAAATAACATGCAAAACAGACAATATATATATTTTGCTACATTTACATTTTAGTCATTTAGCAGACGCTCTTATCCAGAGCAACTTTCAGTTAGTGAGTGCATACATTTTTCATACGGTGCATTCAAGTGCAGTCGCAAAAACCATCAAGCGCTATGATGAAACTGGCTCTCATAAGGACCGCCACAGGAATGGAAGACCCAGAGTTACCTCTGCTGCATAGGATAAGTTCATTAGAGTTACCAGCCTCAGAAATTGCAGCCCAAATAAATGCTTCTTCACAGAGTTCAAGTAACAGACACCAACATCAACTGTTCAGAGGAGACTGTGTAAATCAGGCCTTCATGGTCGAATTTCTGCAAAGAAACCACTACTAAATCAATAATAAGAAGAAACCTGCTTGGGCCAAGAATCGCGAGAAATTTGTCCTTTGGTCTGGAGTCCAAATTTGAGATTTTTGGTTCCAACCGCCGTGTCTTTGTGAGACGCGATGTGGGTGAACGGATGATCTCCGCATGTGCATTTCCCACCGTAAAGCATGGAGGAGGTGGTGTTATGGTGTGGGGGTGTTCTGCTGGTGACACTGTCTGATTTATTTAGAATTCAAGGCACACTTAACCAGCATGGCTACCACAGCATTCTACAGCGATACGCCATCCCATCTGGTTTGGGCTTTGAGGGACTATCATTTGTTTTTCAACAGGATAATGACCCAACACACCTCCAGGCTGTGTAAGGGCTATTTTACCAAGAAGGAGAGTGATGGAGTGCTGCATCAGATGACCTGGCCTCCACAATCCCCCGACCTCAACCCAATTGAGATGGTTTGGGATGAGTCGGACCGCAGAGTGAAGGAAAAGCAGCCAGCACGTGCTCAGCATATGTGGGAACTCCTTCAAGACTGTTGTAAAGCATTCCAGGTGAAGCTGGTTGAGAGAATGCCAAGAGTGCGCAAAGCTGTCATCAAGGCAAAGGGTGGCCACCTGAAGAATCCCAAACACAAAATATATTTTGATTTGTTTAACACTTTCTTGTTTACTACATGATTCCATATGTGCTACTCCATAGCTATGTTGTCCTCACCACCACTCCACAATGTAAAAAATAGTACAAATAAAAAAAAAACACTGGAATGAGTAGGCGTGTCCAAACTTTTGACTGGTAGTGTATATCATATTTGAGAGACATAGGCTATTTGTGGTTGGAGTCAGTGATAAACTTAGCTTAGGTTGTTTTAACCTAGGCTACTGTAGGTCTAATTCAGATTAAGTACCACGATAAAGACATTTGAAAGTTGTTACCTGGTTGTGGCAAAAAAATACAAAAATCAGCAAAAAAAGAAACGTCCCTTTTTCAGGACCCTGTCTTTCAAAGATAATTTGTAAAAATCCAAATAACTTCACAGATCTTCATTGTAAAGGGTTTAAACACTGTTTCCCATGCTTGCTCAATGAACCATGAACAATTAATGAACATGCACCTGTGGAACAGTCGTTAAGACACGAACAGCTTTCAGACAGTAGGCAATTAAGGTCACAGTTATGAAAACTTAGGACACTAAAGAGGCCTTTCTACCGACTCTGAAAAACACCAAAAGAAAGATGCTCAGGGTCCCTGCTCATCTGCGTGAACGTGACTTAGGCATGAGGACTGCAGATGTGGCCAGGGCAATAAATTGCAATGTCCGTACTGTGAGACATTTTACATTTAAGTCATTTAGCAGACGCTCTTATCCAGAGTGACTTACAGGAGCAATTAGGGTTAAGTGCCTTGCTCAAGGGCACATCAACTTTTTCACCTAGTCGGCTCGGGGATTAGAACCAGCGACCTTTCGGTTACTGGCACAACGCTCTTAACCACTAAGCTACCTGCCGTCCTCGCAGTGGCAGACCACGTGTAACAACACCTGCACAAGATCGGTACATCCGAACATCACACCTGCGGGACAGGTACAGGATGGCAACAACAACTGCCCGAGTTACACCAGGAAAGCACAATCCCTCCATCAGTGCTCAGACTGGACTGAGGGCTTGTAGGCCTGTTGTAAGGCAGGTCCTCACCAGACGTCACCGGCAACAACGTCGCCAATGGGCACAAACCCACCGTCCCTGGACCAGACAGGACAGGCAAAAAGTGCTCTTCACTAACGAGTCACGGTTTTGTCTCACCAGGGGTGATGGTCGGATTCGTTATTATCGTCCAAGGAATGAGCGTTACACCGAGGCCTGTACTCTGGAGCGGGATCGATTTGGAGGTGGAGGGTCCATCATGGTCTGGGGCGGTGTGTCACAGCATCATCGGACTGAGCTTGTTGTCATTGCAGGCAATCTCAACGCTGCGCGTTACAGGGAAGACATCCTCCTCCCTCATGTGGTACCCTTCCTGCAGGCTCATCCTGACATGACCCTCCAGCATGACAATGCCACCAGCCATACTGCTTGTTCTGTGCGTGATTTCCTGCAAGACAGGAATGTCAGTGTTCTGCCATGGCCAGCGAAGAGCCCGGATCTCAATCCCATTGAGCACGTCTGGGACCTGTTGGATCGGAGGGTGAGGGCCAGGGCCATTCCCCCCAGAAATGTCAGGGAACTTGCAGGTGCCTTGATAGAAGACTGGGTAACATCTCACAGCAAGAACTGGCAAATCTGGTGCAGTCCATGTGGAGATGCACTGCAGTACTTAATGCAGCTGGTGGCCACACCAGATACTGACTGTTACTTTTGATTTTGACCCCCCCCCCCCCCCCTTTGTTCAGGGACACATTATTCAATTTCTGTTAGTCACATGTCTGTGGAACTTGTTCAGTTTATGTCTCAGTTGTTGAATCTTGTTATGTTCATACAAATATTTACACATGTTAAGTTTGCTGAATAAAAACACAATTGACAGTGAGAGGACTTTTCTTAAACAGGTGGGGCTTAGTGACGGGTCGCCACTGTACTCACAACAGAAACAAAATACTTTTGGTGTATGATTTTCTTTTTCTGTGGGTGATAAGCCAACTGAAAAACATCAATTGTTATCTTGTTTTAGGGAAAGATGGCGGTATGTTTCTGTGATAAATACAGTGAGCAAAAGCAATACATTTTGTTTATTCATATTTTATTTTCAGATGAAAATGGTGCTGAGTTTCTGAGGGAATTAACAGAGGCCCTTGATGGACTACACATATCCACAACAGCTGACAAACTTGGCAAGGTTGGCACAATACATTTCTGTCTTGATTGAATTTCAAGCCAGTGATCTTGTGGTCTCATGCTAGCGGTCCAATAATATAGCAGTGTTTGTTGCCATTTTCTGGAGAGTTTTGGTAGGACTGAGTTTTGAAAGGACTGAGCACTACTTCACTTTGCTTTTTCTGCATGGTAGATCACTAATCTCTAACCAATTTTCTCTCTGCAAACCCTCATCAGGCAAGTAAGAATGCACGTGACCAGATTGCCCAAATGACCAAACCCATAAAGGAAGAAGAAAGGAATGAAGAGGAAGTGGAAAAAATCTATACTGTTGAGGTATGAAAAACAAAAATGACATTGTGACTATTGGAATGGAGCTTTACTCCTTTCTGTTGTAACTACTGATTTGAGTGTTGTTGATTCCTCTCAGGATGTCCACTCGTCAGCGATCAGAAGCCTGGCTGAGCTAACAGCCAGATCCATAGAGCAGTTCCACAAAGTGGCCGAGATGATCCTGTTCTGTACCAGCCAGGAGGTCACCAATTTGGAGCAGGCCAAAATCCTCTCGCAGTAAGTTCCATCAGCCATCTACAGAGAGTTCTATTACTAGTCATAGATATAGCTCTGGTTCACACCTCCCTAACCTTCAGATATAACGTGTGTGTATTGATACCCTCATTGTTGTCATATCCTAGTATGTGATTGTGCTCTAACTCAACATTTTGTACTCCCCTTACAGAATAACAATTGTTTTGTGTAAAGAGATATCACTACTTTCCAAGAAGTTCACCTCCTGTTTAACTACAATAGGGGTAAGATAATGATTCTATACAAACTATATCACAAAGTATATTTAGCCTGTCACTAAGCTTACACTCTTCAAAGCCACATTCACAGAACTCAGCTTCAGATGTTAGTATTCATGGTCTTACACAACGTAACTTTTCATCATGGAACTTATTTGTACTGCATCACTATGAAAATGTATAAACTGTCTTTTCAGTTTCACAAATACTGCTTTCACATAGGATTTACGGTATTTTGCCTGTAAAAAAAACAGGGCAATGTTTATATGACCCTCTTACAAACAGGCCCATTTTTACCACATTCTTGCCTGCATGCGCCTTTTATGCCGGCATGCCGGGGACGAGTGGTAGTAGTGGTGTGCAGATGTGGGTAGGCGTCTATATTAATAAATCCATTAAGAATAATCACCATCAAAAAGATATCCATTATTACTTTGTTTAGGCAGGTCCAAAGAACCATAAGACTAATAAAATGTATTTTCAAAAGAATAGAATAGCCATCCAAATGAAGTCAATAGTTTGTTATTTTATTGATTAAACAGACAAGACACACCTACCCGATCAGTCAACACACATACACTGAGTATACAAAACATTAAGAACACCTGCTCTTAACATGACAGACTGATCAGGTGAATCCAGGTGAAAGCAATGATCCCTTATTGATGTCACTTGTTAAATCCACTTCAATCAATGACGGGGAGGAGACAGGTTAAATAATTATTTTTAAGCCTTGAGACAATTGAGACATGGATTGTGTATGTGTGCCATTCAGAGGGTGAATGGGAAAGACCAAATATTTAAGTGCCTTTGAATGGGGTATGGTAGTAGGTGCCAGGCGCAGCGGTTTGTGTCAAGAACTGCAAAGCTGCTGGGTTTCACACTCAGCAGTTTCCCGTGTGTATCAAGAATGGTCCACCACCCAAAGGACATCCAGCCAACTTGACACCACTGTGGGAAGCATTGGAGTCAACATGGGCCAGCCTTCCTGTGGAACGCTTTTGACACCTTGTAGAGTCCATGCCCCAACGAATTGAGGCTGTTCTGAGGGCAAAAGAGGGGAGAGGACAACTCAATGTTAGGAAGGTGTTCCTAATGTTTGGTATACTCAGTGTATATTATAGTAAGAATATAATGGAATATAACAGAATAAAATACAAATAATATCTTTCCCACACAACTTGTCACAGGAACGTGTGGAACCGCAAAGAAAGTGATATTTTGAAACAGAGCCCAAGCCTATGCTTTTTTGATCCACGTTTAATCTCTTTCTTACCCTCACTCCACTTTGTTGGGGAGCAGGCATAGGGTCTTATCTTCAAGATATCGATAGAAAATAATAGCAATCTATATTTTCTAACGCATGTGCGTCTCGTGTTCATATTTCACAATCTCCTTTTGGAATTGCCGATACGTGATTGAGCAAAGTAATAGGCCTGCTCTTGATTTAGGCTACATTATTGCATGCTAAATGTTTCTGATAAGTGATAGATGAGCAAACAAATAGATAGATGCGCTATACGGCCTCCAATTATTTGCCCAACTGATTAACCAAATAGCCTATACAGACGGAAATTCAGTTAAATAAAATCACATTGATTGATTATTAAACAACATTTTTACACTGACATTTTAGTCATTTAGTAGACGCTCTTATTCAGAGCAATTTTCAGGCGCAATTAGGGTTAAAACAAGTCAGTGAAGTCACAGGCTTTTGGTCGCGAGTAGGCCTAGGCTACTAAGCGACTGCTAGCAAAATAATCCACTCGTTAAACTACATAACCTGTCAAAATGTTCTAACAAAATGAGCCAACTAGACAAGATGATCATGAGCAGCACTCACCTCAACTTAGCTAACATTTCCCCAGCCTAATTGTAGCCTAACCAATATCCAAACAGAGATGCAGTGAAAACAAAAATCTTACACTTAAAAATGTATCTTACACTTATACATTTATCAAATTATTCAGTATGTAAATCTGAGACACTCCGTTTAGTATGATATGTTACATATGGTATCTATTCATTTGTGGATGTCCATCACCCATTTTGTATGATATGTTACGAATTACAATTGTATTAAATGTAAAAAATTTGCTAAACGTACAATATGTTAAGAATTCTAGCTAGGTGGCTAACATTAGCTAGCTGGCTAACGTTAGCTAGGTTAGGAGTTAGGATTAAGTTTAGGAGTTATGTTAAAGGTTAAGGGGAAGGGTTAGCTAAAATGGTTAGGGGGAGGGTTAGCTAACCTGCTAAGTAGTTGCAAAGTAGCTTAAAGTAGTAAGTAGTTGAAAAGTTGCTAATTACCTAAAATGCTAAAGTTGTCCGTAATGACTTTCGAACTCGCAACCTTTGGGTTGCTAGACGTTTGCATTATACTCACACCCATCCACCCTGACCAACCACCCTACTTTTGTTTTTGCCTTAAGTAACCTTCTTTCTAATGTAACCATACCAAATGTAACATATCATACTAAACTGGATATCATGGATTTATGTTTACTGTGTTATGTGTAGTCTATGAGACCAGGCTGCCACACACATTTACATTTACATTTTAGTCATTTAGCAGACGCTCTTATTTGCTACAAATGTATTACAAGGATTGGATGACTTTGGGAGTTTCAGTAAGCAACAGTTTGATACATGCCTAAAATTGCATTAGCCTACTTTATTCCAATATTTTCGTCATTCAGTGATATTTATTCCCACAGTAATCATTAGTAGTGGGCTATGCGAAGTGACATGCCTTGCAAAGTTTAGAACTGCCAGGAGGACGGTAACGGGGCGCTGACTAGCAACCATCAAGAGTTTAAGAGCCTAGTGCGTGCCAATGCCACCTCAGCATTGCAGCTATGTTTCATACTAAGCTGTAGGCAGAACTTTACCGAAATGATAACTAGGTTGTTTGGCGAAATACAAGTTTCAGCTTTGATACCGGCAATACCTTTATGGTATTGGTTAAGTTGGCAGAAAAACGTCTTTAGTATGAAAGGGATAAAAGTAATTAACCTTACTTAAGAGTGTCAATTCATTTAATAAGCAGTTGCAGGGTAATTATTGCAATCCTGACATGAATGATTCTAATGGAGATGCCTATAGTTAATTAGACCCAAAGAGAGGAGTGTAAATCAATCTTAAAGGGAAACTGCTGGATTTTGGCAATGAAGCCCTTGATCTACTTCCCCAGAGTCAGATGAACCCATGGATACCATTTTTTTTATGTCTCTTTGTGCAGTTTGAAGGAATTTGCTGAGGGAAATTTTACTGGGGGGAGGGGTGGTTCAAAATAGGAGAGGGTTCTCAAACTTTATTTTTTGCTTTGGGAAGGGTTGTGTGTTTTTTGGGGGGTGCACAGGGGAGGTTAGTGCATTTTTCCCAGGTTTACATTCGTTCTTCTGCTCGTATTTTCCCTATAAACAATGGCTTGACCAACTTTTGATATCGCCCTAATAAACTTTAGAAACGTTTGTGAAGGATTGGTATGGTGTGGACACCTAAGCCTATAGGCCTTTGCATGCAATGCCCTGATACATTTAGTGCTCAAATCTCTGACAGCTGACCTGTGAGGTGGACAATTATTGTTTTTGGAAAGTAGCTATAAGGTTTTGCATATGCTACACATCGAAACACAAGGAATAGTGTTTTTGTAATTTGTTATAGGCAGTTTTTAAAGACACGTAAATGTGGCTCATTTGGCCAACATACCTCATTTATTGATGGCGCAGGTTGGATCTGAATGCATATGGATTTCCATTACATTTCTCAAATGTCCGGTAAATTTAAAATGTTCCCTGTCATGTTGTCCGGCGCCATATTTTCCTAATGGAAACTCTGAAATGGCATATTGTTTTTATGAAGATTTTTGAATATTCACATGAAAATCTGTCACCAATTAGATGGAAACCTAAAGACCCACTTTGATTATGCCTGCACATCATGGTTCACCGGCAGCCCCAAACGTCTAAAGAATAAGCTACCCGCCAAACAAGCTTGTAAGAATTGTACTTAAACTCCCCCTCATACTCATCTGGAGGTTGAGCATTTCTTCGTCTCTATCTCTGTAATGTGTCTGTATCTATGTAATTATATATGTATTTATGTAAAAAAATAGGGACCACAATGGAAATAAGCCCCCGACTTTATTGTGCAATCCCGGTCACTTAAAAAAATATTTCTGTATATATGTATTTTTTAAACTGACAAATAAAATCAATCAATGAATCAATCCAAACTGTGCAGCGGCCAATTGATGAATGGAAAGAGACATCTGTTACAAAACACCAAAAAGTTTAATGACGTCAGGAGATTGTCAAACCAAGCCTTCGATACTGGGTAAGCCTGCTGGGTAGGGAGTGATATATTTTCTGTTTGTCCAGATTGACATAGTCTATTTATGGTGGTTGAAAACGCAAACCATGATATTTAAGTGCCCAAAGTCAGTATGCTTTGTTTATTGGTTGTGTGGTGCATCGGCACAGAAACCTGTTGGTGGAAAATGTGTTTAATATATTTTATATAATTATAAATGGCATAAAACCTTAAAAAATCTGATTTCCCCCTAGCTGATCATTGTCTGCAGCAGTCTCTGATTGTAGTGTAATGAAACAGGCAGGGAGAGTGAGCTTGTCAGTGGTGGTCAACGAACCCTCAACCTTCTGACCCGTTGCCCTGCGTGGCATCGACTGTGCCACAAAAGCATGCTGAAGTGGCAAAGTCGATATCCACGTTTATAAACACAGGATCTCTACAGTTATTGTTATTTGTGGTCGTAAACATTATTTTAAGTTAATTCTATGAGGGGGGAGGGTGTTCAATTTATTTTACAATACGAGGGGAGGGTCATGTGAAAATATTTGTAACTTGGGGGGGGGGGGGGGGGGGGTTCTTTTTTTTTTATGACACCTTGAGTTGGACCCCCCCCCCCCCAGTACATTTCGATCTGTCTCTAACTAGCGTTAGCGCAATGACTGGAAGTCTGTTTTTTAAAAAGATGTTCTATTTATATCTGTAAATCAACCAATAAAATCAAGCCACACCTGGCCATGATTACAGACACCTATGTGTGTCCTTTCAAAGTATATACATTTGTGACCCGCAGTGTTTTCATTATATCCTGATGAAGACTGTTGAAACGTTGGTTATAAAATTATTGCATCTGAGCTCCTAGAGTGTGAGGCTCTCCTTTTCTTTTTCAAGCATGCTAGTAGATACCATAGACTTGGAGTCATTGTGCTAACAGTAGTTAGCATTGGCTCACAAAACTACCTCTCTTCCTTCATACTGGATGCAGAGACATAAAACTGGTATCCATGAGTGAGTTCAGCTGACTCTGGGGAAGTAGATAAAGGGCTTCTTTGCCAAAATCTGTAAGTATCCCTTTAACAGGTGTAGAATATTCCTAGTTCACTGAATCCAGAGACTAATAAGACCAAAACATTTTGTTTTGCAGTCTAATGAAAAGGGAGATGTCCTCAATCCACTCATAACGGGAGTATTTTTGGAGGTTTGTTTCTAATTCATTATCGTACATTGCTGCATATCACATCCTCTTAATTCTGTCTGAAAGCTGAATCATAACAATGTGTGTTTGTGTGTGAGAGATTTACAAATGTGGTGCATTGTTTATGTATCTATGTGCTGTATGTATCTCGTCTTCTTTAGGCTTCCAACAGTGCATCGTACATCCAGGATTCCTTCCAGCTCCTCATACCTGTATTAGAGGTGTCCCACATTCAAAGTAGTGCTGACTCTAACCAACAGTGACCACATCTCTCTCCCAGCTGTGCCAACAAGGGACCCTGACAAAAAGCATTGACGGTTTAAAAAAATACTTCCTCAGCTTTCATTTATATTGATTTCAAAGCCTATCTAAAGTGTCACACCTCAGAAGAAATGTACCTTTGACAAACAGTGTTTACTCGTCGTGGAGTATTGTAGTGCTGTTGTTGTATAGCACAGTAGAAATACCAATGTACAGTATTTGAGGAGTCTAGAGCTGACATGTTTGAATGACACAGACGTCTGCATTTCTCATCCAAATATTATGCTTATGTACTGACATTAATTGAATAATATACAGTTGTCCATGTCTCTGTTTCACAATTACCATGATTCAATGCATTATTCATAACACCAGGACTTCAGGATAACCCCAAGTACTTCAGGTGTCTGTATTACAAATGAATGTGATTTCGCTTTGGCACACATAAAGTCGAAAGTTTACATACACCTTAGCCAAATACATTTAAACTCAGGTTTTCACAATTCCTGACATTTAATCCTAGTAAAAATTCCCTGTCTTAGGTCAGTTAGGATCACCACTTTATTTTAAGAATGTGAAATGTCAGAATAATAGTAGAGAGAATGATTTATTTCAGCTTTTATTTCTTTCATCACATTCCTAGTGGATCAGAAGTTTACATACACTCAATTAGTATTTGGTAGCATTGCCTTTAAATTGTTTAACTTGGGTCAAACGTTTCGGGTAGCCTTCCACAAGCTTCCCACAATAAGTTGGGTGAATTTTGGCCCATTCCTCCTGACAGAGCTGGTGTAACTGAGTCAGGTTTGTAGGCCTCCTTGCTCGCACATGCATTTTCAGTTCTGCCCACACATTTTCTATAGGATTGAGGTCAGGGCTTTGTGATGGCCACTCCAATACCTTGACTTAGTTGTCCTTAAGCCATTTTGCCACAACTTTGGAAGTATGCTTGGGGTCATTGTCCATTTGGAAGACCCATTTGCGACCAAGCTTTAACTTCCTGACTGATGTCTTGAGATGTTGCTTCAATATATCCACATAATTTTCCTTCCTCATTATGCCATCTATTTTGTGAAGTGCACCAGTCCCTCCTGCAGCAAAGCACCCCCACAGCATGATGCTGCCACCCCTGTGCTTCACGGTTGGGATGGTGTTCTTCAGCTTGCAAGGACCCCCTTTTTCCTTCAAACATAACGATGGTCATTATGGCCAAACAGTTCTATTTTTGTTTCATCAGACCAGAGTACATTTCTCCAAAAAGTACGATCTTTGTCCCCATGTGCAGTTGCAAACCGTAGTCTGGCTTTTTTATGGCGGTTTTGGAGCAGTGGCTTCTTCCTTGCTGAGCGGCCTTTCAGGTTATGTCGATATAGGACTCGTTTTACTGTGGATATAGATATTTTTGTACCTGTTTCCTCCAGCATCTTCACAAGGTCCTTTGCTGTTGTTCTGGGATTGATTTGCACTTTTCGCACCAAAGTACGTTCATCTCTAGGAGACAGAACGCGTCTCCTTCCTGAGCGGTATGACAGCTGCGTGGTCCCATGGTGTTTATACTTGCGTACTATTGTTTGTACAGATGAACATTGTACCTTCAGGCGTTTGGAAATTGCTCCCAAGGATGAACCAGACTTGTGGAGGTCTACAATTTTTTTGGCTGATTTATTTTGATTTTCCAATGATGTCAAGCAAAGAGGCACTGTGTTTGAAGGTAGGCCTTGAAATAAATCCACAGGTACACCTCCAACTGACTCAAATGATGTCAATTAGCCTATCAGAAACTCCTAAAGCCATTACATAATTTTCTGGAATTTTCCAAGCTGTTTAAAGGCACAGTCAACTTAGTGTATGTATATTTCTGACCCACTGGAATTGTGATACAGTGAATTATAAGTTAAATAATCTGTAAACAAAAATTACTTGTCATGAACAAAGTAGATGTCCTAACCGACTTGCCAAAACTATAGTTTGTTAACAAGACATTTGTGGAGTGGTTGAAAAACGAGTTTTAATGACTCCAACCTAAGTGTATGTAAACTTCTGACTTCAACTGTACATATCTATTTATCTTCAGGTGTAATTGTATGACCAGAATATTAGTAATTGAATGATGACAACTATTTTAATTGTATTTTAGTAGGAAAAGTGATTGTGGTAATCTGTGTCCTGGAACTGTATCAGGTTTTCCTTGAACTTTTGGAGCTACATAACTGTCAGGTATTTTACGCTTTTCAAATAAAGATAATTTCTTAAACAAAATCCTATTAAAGCTTCGAATCGATTATTGTGGCATACCAAGGTCCATACAGGTGAAGATTTGAGTGAATGTGACACAATTTGTAAAGCATTTCATTTGTAAAAACGTTTGCAAGCCAATTAACTCCTGGATAATTGGGTTATTATTGTGCTGAAACCTTGATATTCTGTATATAGGGTCATGACATGAAACAAACCACATTGCCAACTATAAAGTTCCACACTATAGATATGTAGCTATTTAAGTTTGTATTTTTCTGGGAGAAAACGGGTGTATATCACGGAGGTGGTGTATGCTCCACAGTCCACACTCGAGCAACTATATCCAGGCTGGGTACCAGTGTACTGCTGGTCAGAACATCAAGTGAGACGTGAAGGTGCGCTTTTTCCCCTCTGCGCCTGCCTAGATGTATTTCTATGACTTCCGATAGAGCAAGGAAGCCAACGTTATGCAGCAACGTTAGCAAGGGCTAGCAGTAGCCCCAGCGGAATAAGATCATACGGCGGATCAGGTAAACATTGACATTTGTGCTTTATACGTTTCATAGTAGCTAGCTAATACAATAATATGTGAAAGTTAAACAAATTACCAAACAGAGTTGGCTAGCTATCCATTTCCCTGGCGGTTTCCAGCTAGCTTGCTAGCCATCTTGACTTCATCAATGCTGACAAAACGAGCTAACTCTAGCAAACTGAGCAAGCTAGCTAGCCCAATGTAGCTTGGCTACGTGCAGTTGTAGCTAACTATGTGTAATGGAATTTTATTTTAGTTAACCTCCCAGTGTGGCTAGCTAGCTACCATTGGTATACTATATTGTTTCCCCTGTAACTGGGCTAGTTAGCTGACGTTAACTAGCTAACGTTACATAGCTAACGTTAAATTTCATTTGGATGCTAGTAAGCTACATAGCTTGCTGTATGTCATTTAATTGTTGCTAGGTAACCTTAGTTAGTTAAAGTGTTTATACAAATGTAGCTAAATAATTTGCAGAAAACCAACACCGGAGCTGTTTTATCCAGCCAAGTTCGTTTGCTATGACTTTATCTAGCTAACATCAGTCGTGTCGTACTGATGGGATTCAGGCCAGGCAGGTTTTGATTTAGGCGCCCAGCCATTCATATGTACTCTATATGACCAAAAGTATGTGGACACCTGCTCGTCTAACATGTCTTTCCAAAATCATGAGCATTAATATGGAGTTACCTTCACTGGAACTAAGGGGCCTAGCCCAAACCATGAAAAACAGCCCCAGACCATTATTCCTCCTCCACCCAAACTTTAAAATGCATTGGGGCAGGTAGCATTCTCCTGGCATCCGCCAAACCCAGATTCGTGAAGCGTGATTCATCACTCCAGAGAAAGCGTTTCCACTGCTCCAGAGTCCAATGGCTGTGAGCTTTTCACCACTCCAGCTGACGCTTGGCATTGCGCATGGTGATCTTAGGCTTGTGTGCGGCTGCTTGGCCATGGAAACCCATTTCATGAAGCTCCCTACGAACATTTCTTGTGCTGACTATGCTTCCAGAGGCAGTTTGGAACTTGGTAGTGAGTGTTGCAACCGAGGACAGATTATTTTTATGCGCTTCAGCGGTCCCGTTCTGTGCACTTGTGTGGCCTACCACTTCACGGCTGAGCCGTTGTTGCTCCTAGATGTTTCCACTTCACAATAACAGCATTTATAGTTGTCCGGAGCAGCTCTAGCAGGGCAGAAATTTGACGAACTGACTTGTTGGAAAGATGGCATCTTATGACGGTGCCACGTTGAAAGTCACTGAGCTCTTCAGTAAGTCCATTCTACTGCCAATGTTTGTCTATGCATGGCTGTGTGCTCGATTTTATACACCTGTCAGCAACGGGTGTGGCTGAAATGGCCGAATCCTCTGATTTTGAAGGGGTGTTCACATACTTTTGTATATATAGTGTATCTTATGTGTTGAATCAAGCTACTGCACACAGCTTTAACTGTCTATCATTTTGCATTTAAAATGTAGTTAATTGATGATTAGCTGAATGGCATAGATAATGTTCAACCTCCTCTTGCGCCCCACAGAGTAAATTTTTTCAACAGACTGTTCCCCGAAAGTGCTGCAGAATTGTCAGCGTTTTCAGTCCTTTCCTCAACCTGCAAAAATGCCAGCTGCACTGGCAGATACCAGTCAGATTATCTGTGAGGTCTGGGCAAGCAATGTGGATGAGGAAATGAGGAAAATCCGACAGATAATTCAAAGCTACAACTTCATTGCCATGGTAAACTATCTTCCTAAATATGCTAACTTTTTTCATTGATTTTCTTAGTAGATCTGTGAAGGTTTTGGTATGTATTGCGTCAACTTCTTTTGCCATTAATGATGTCCTTCTTGTTCCAACAGGACACAGAATTCCCCGGCGTGGTGGTTCGACCCATTGGCGAGTTTCGCAGCACGGTAGACTACCAGTACCAGCTCTTGAGGTGCAACGTGGACCTTCTGAAAATCATCCAACTGGGACTGTCATTTATGAACGAAGATGGAGACTATCCCCCTGGAACGACGACATGGCAGTTCAATTTCAAATTTAATTTAACGTGGGTGTTAATCCTTGTATCCTTGTTATAATACAGTATAGCCAGTAATGAGATTAAAACTATGTCATGCTTATGTTTTTGGGGTAGGATCTGATGCCTCATTAGAAGGCTCTTGAGTAATAGTCTATTGTTTATAATGTTGTTTCACTGTTTAGTTTGCTCCATTCTGAAAAAAACACATCTGATGTTCTTTTGTAAACAGAGAGGATATGTACTCCCAGGACTCGATAGACCTACTTCAGAACTCCGGCCTCCAATTCAAAAAGCACGAGGAAGAGGGGATCGACACGCTCTACTTTGCTGAGCTCCTGATGACATCTGGTTTAGTGCTGTGTGAAAATGTCAAGTGGCTCTCCTTTCACAGGTAGGGATGTGTTGAGAGATGTCAGTGGGCCTAGTGTTTTTCCTGGTAAACAGGATAAACTCTGGGCCCTAGTCATGAACACTCCCAACAGTGCCCCAGTAGTCATTTGAGAAATCAAGTTGTAATGAATCTCCTTGCTGTATTTCTCATTTGCAGCGGGTATGATTTTGGCTACCTAGTGAAGCTGTTAACAGACACTCGGCTACCTGAGGAGGAACATGAGTTCTTCCAGATCCTCAATCTCTTCTTCCCTGCAATCTATGACGTGAAATATCTGATGAAGAGCTGCAAGAACTTGAAGGTAAAGAGACATTCCTGGTAACTTGCTTATTCATTATTTGTTATTTGTAAAACCAATGAAAGCACGGTTGGCTGTCAAGTGTCTGACTGGATTCAAACAAGTCTCTTAGCTAATGCAAGGTTACTCATCACACAAGCATGGCTCTTCAAACCCCCTCAGTTACACAATCAATGGTGGCCTATAGTGAGGTGTGCACCTTTAAAAAACATTTTATTTCACCAAAGAAATGACTGACATGAAATGTGCTTTGACTTCCCCCGAGGATGTTGAGGTAGAGCATATGGCTCTAGTTAGCTGACTGTCACCTGTGTGTTTGTTCAGGGAGGACTCCAGGAGGTGGCTGACCAGCTGGAACTAAAGAGGATTGGGAGACAGCACCAGGCCGGCTCTGATTCCCTGCTCACAGGGATGGCCTTCTTTAGGATGAAAGAGGTACCTATTCTATTCCTGATGTCTTCTATGACAACTGATAGGTGAAAGGACTTAGATTTAACATTGCACTTGTCAAGTCATTTCAGAAGAGTGGTCAGGAATGAAAATAAGCTGTAAAAGATGATTGTGACATAGTCCCAGTCCTCTTGGGAAGAGTTTGTGAACTAGACTTGATGGGGATTGGCATCTAGGGAGTAACTGATTCTGACCATGTTTCTGTTACAAATGAAATAAGTTGTCCTCTACTTTTGCAGCTTTTCTTTGAAGACAACATTGATGACGCAAAGTATTGTGGGCGATTGTACGGATTGGGCTCTGGGTCCACTCAAAATCAGAACGGCATCTCAAGCTCTTCCCAAGAGGAAACCAACAACAAGCACTGATCGACTGCGAGGCCATCAAGTGGAAGACACACTTGTTTTAACCCATCCAGTAGATGTTTATTTTCTCCCCCCACTCCCAGAAAACATGAGATTAATTTCTGTATCCTGCTTCACCAGCTGCAAAAAGGACATTTGGTTACCATAGACTCTCCTCTTGAACCCATTTTGTTCTGTCATAGTTGATTTTACTGCGTATTGTCACATTCAAATTCCCTATTGTACCACTATTGAGCCTTTCTATCGCCCAGGACCAGTATTCAGAAACCTTTGTTTATCAGCATTGCAGTAACTCTTCTTTTAAAAGCATGGGACCAGCTCTTGTGTATTGTACTGCGAATAAGAAGTTTAGCATTTGAAAGTGCTCAACAATTCTCTGCACTACTGCTTTTCAAAACAACAAACTTTATTTAAACCCAACTGTAGCTCGAGCATCGGTAGGTATCGTTCAGAAAACCAGTTTGTTGGATACATGCTTGTAGGGATTGTACAATTTTAAAGTAACATTTCACTGAATCCGTGATATGTTTTAGCATTTTTCCTTTGAGAAAGGAGACTTTTAGATTTGGTGCCAGGCTGGTCTTGAGTATGAATGTGTTACAGGGGCACACTGCAGTTCTGTGCAACATTTTGCTTTTAATTTGTTCACTGCTCAGTTTAAAACAATGGTTTGTGGTTGCTATTGTTTTTACAACATGCATTGTTTGAAACAGTTGTATATTAAAACATTTTTCTATTTTCAATGTTTTGATTAGCTTGTTTCAGACATGCCCAAAATAGTATTCCCTAACTCACCGTTCAGGGCATGCCTTATTGAACCAATTTTCTGTCCCTGTTAAGGTTTAAATAGGCTACATTGTCGCTCTACGCTGACCTTTTTTACAAGGAGCACGTGTGCGCCTACGTTAAAATGTAGGCGCACAGACATTTAGGAGTACAATGAAAAAGGAGGTAAAGCTAGAATACTTAATTTTTTACTGCACTGGTGCTCCCAAATTAAAATTCCAGGTCTCACAGGAATGTAGGCGCATATGCGAGTAAAATGGTTGCACTATAGAGCTTTTTATCCATATTTTATCCTCATTGTGCCTAGCCTGGCATACGTTCCTTCTTCCTAGACCAAGATTTGGCTATAGCTGTTAATCTGACAGAGCCAGACATGCGACCACTTCTCGCATATGCTCCTAAATATTTTGCTGTGCGACCTGGAATTTGTATTTAGGCGCAGATGTCTAGTAAGGCTCTACGTTCATTAGTATGTGATCCTCTGGATGATTAAGGTTTTTCTATTTATTCTTCCTTAGTGAGGGATACTCTGACCAAGGTAATGTACACATAATTGGGTGCCATTGTTTTGTATGGACATGGCCTAGGCCCCCAGCAGTGCGTGAACAGTTACTTCAATCATTGTTCATTCAAGACTAAAATCCTACTTCTGATGAATCAATACAATTTATTTTGAAGGCTGGTGTTCGTATAGTAAATCAGAGATTAGTGAAAAGGTTTATTTATTGATATACATACATATTTTCCATTCTTACTAAGTGCATTTTACATTTAACAAAAACAAGTTATAGAAAAATAACATGCATCTATAACCATTAAGATAGGAATCGCTGGGAGGCCTTGCGGAGAGAGGGAGTTCCATACTTGCGGAACAAGGCCACTGCTTCATTCTTTAGGTGATCAGGAACAAGAGCAGAACTCTTACTCAAATAGAGAAGAACTAAGCAGCACTCCAGAACATCTGGGTATGGATATTCCTGAAATGGGAGAGCAAAAATATTCAAAAACAATAGCAGCAGGAAAATGTTCAGTAAAAAAGTATGAGGGTGTCTTACTTTGACATGGTCTGGGATGTCAGCCAACTCTTTGTGGTGCTCAGAAACCATGGCAATCAAGGAGGGTAAGGATTCAGTGTCAGGTCTGAAAAACAAAGATTACAAAAGCTCAATATCTGACAGACAATCATAACTTTCACTTACACCAACTATTTGTCTGAATACACTATTACAGTTTCAGACTGTCAAGTAACAAATCATTGCAGTTGTCTTTATGCTAAACAGCTAACTCTAAAATGTCCAAAGGCACAATTAGAAATATAAAAAAATAGGCCGTACCCTTGCCCTGCATCACTGGACTCTTGGCTGTCTGTGGGAGTGGAGCCCTGGGCCAAGGTGGGCCTTTCAGTCTGTCCCTCCCCAGGGCTGGCTTTAGTCTCCTGGGTTCGGCTGTGCTGGTGCACCATGGAGGCCAGTCTCTGCTTGATCTCTGCTATAGTCCTCTGGGTGGCCTGGCAGGTCGCGTGGGGCTCAGACAGCAGCACCTGGCAAGCGTTCACACACACTCCTTTCGTCACATCTCCATTCTGAGTGCTCAGACACCATCCCATCCCATCTCCATTTGGAGTGTCAGTAACACGGCCGTCTAATCCATTGTTGTGGTTCTTGCTGGCTGAGTGCAGTCCATTAGTCATGTCTCTCTGAGCTCCTGCTGTGTTAGTGCTGTGGCTCCACCACATGTGGTAGAGGTCCTGGTAACACACAAATGCCTCCAGGCTCCGAGCTGCAGCCAAGGCCTTCTCATCAGAGGGGTCCACCATCTTTTTGTGTTCTGAGATGGAGTCGATACCTAGCAGAGAAAGAGTAGGGTTCAAAAGGACGCATTTCCTTCATACATTTGGAAGATGAGAACCATACAGTTAGTGTCCACACTTCCATTGAAATGAATTGAGTACTGTATGCAGATTGCCCTGTTGTCACCTGTCTGTGCACATTAAAGAAAAGTGTGTCTGCAGTTAAAGGGTTGGGCCTTTCTTCCTGGAATGGACTAGTTCACACAGATTAAAAGGGTTGAGGTAGCAATACACTTGAGCGTAACGTGAGTATCTTTTATCAAACGTGAGGCCTCATGAATGTTATTGATAATCAACTAGGCCCGTGCAGCTCAGTTGGTAGAGCATGGTGTTTGCAACGCCAGGGTTGTGGGTTCGATTCCCATGGGGGGAAAAATGTATGCACTCACTAATTAAGTCGCTCTGGATAAGAGCGTCTGCTAAATGACTAAAATGTAAATCATTGTTTTGCTGTTTTACCATTCTTGTTATCAACACAATTTTGCTGAGGTAGGCTTGTACTTTCCAGTAAATGCCATTACAGTAAATCCTAGCTTTGTATTCAGTTTTATCTCTCAGACATGGCAGATAAGAGCATATGGATAAGACAGATCAAATCAGAGCTGGCATGGGTATAAATCGAAGTATTGCCAAGACTTGAACACAAACAGAACGTCCTGAAGTTAGACTCAGACATTTCTCTGAGACCTCACCACATCCATTGCAGACATGATGTCCTGTGATCTCCTGTTGATGATCCCCCTCTACTGATGGTTCAATATATAACATGTAGACTTACAACTAATTTAACTTGCACAAGCAGTGCCAGCAGTACAGGAGGGCAGGCATGCAGGGGCCAGAACTGACTTTAATAGTCTGGAGAGGCTTTGAAACAGAACCCGTTGCCAGAAGCTGTAAAGAAATAAGGGACCGATATGACCAACATGAAGATGGGCTGTACTACCTGACCACAGCAAGTGGGGTCGTGTACCAGACCTTCTGTGATATGACCACCGTAGGCAGCTAGACACTGGTGGCGAGCGTGCACGAGAACAACATTTACGGGAAGTGCACGGTAGGCAACCACTGGTCCAGCCAGCAGGGCAGCAACCCCAACCGGCCAGACAGAGAGGGGAACTGGGCCAACAGGTCCACTTTTGGAACACCAAAGGGTGCAACCGCCGACGCCTTCCAAGAGCCCTGGGTATTATGACAACATGGCGGAGGACATGTCAGTGTGGCACGTCCCCAACAACTCCTCTGGAACACACTGGAACCTGGCCTCCATCCTGCGCTACCACACAGAGACGCTTCCTCACCCTTCAAAGGGGAAACCTCTACCAACTCTTCAAGCGTTACCTGGTGAGATACAATGTGGGGTCTTGAAACAACAGAGGACCAGCCATTCTTATCATCTACAACCACGGAGACACACAAACCACCAGAGACTTTTATGGACCCAAGCCAAGAAATGAGTTTAAGCCTGGCTTCAACACATTCAGAGAGATCAATAACGAATGGGCATCTGCTCTGGGGTTAAACCAACTGGCTGCAACTCTGAACACTACTGTATTGGCGGTGGACACTTCCCTGGGGCAGCTCCTATACTGGTATGTCCACGGACACTGCACAGGCTGGAGTGCATCTAAGAAGAACTCTGAAGCTGCCATGCCACTCTTCTACTGTTAAAATCCATCCAAATGCCTTTATTAAAAACATGTTATCAATGCATTATATTACAGTAAAAAAATGTTTTTAACTTACTTACTAACCAGTCTGTGCCACCAACTGTATATTAAGATTATTTTTTATATACATACAACAGCCAAAAAAAACACCTGTTTTAAGATATGTATTGGACACACTGCTCTATGGTAGCATTTCTAAATCAAATGTATCTAATTTTATTGGTCACATACACATATTTAGCAGATGTTATTGAGGGTGTAACGAAATTAAAGGTACTGTACAAATACAATTACTGTATATGTGCAAGAATAATACATTGTATACATTTTGATTTATCTTCACATACATACATCTCAGTGTGTAATCCCTGCCATGGATAATAAAGATGGCTAAACTAAGATGTTGCGTCACCTTGAGGAAACAGCAGCCTGCAGGTCTCTGACATCAGCGAGAAGTGACCCGCCTCATTCCCTCTGGCCACGCCCTGCAACAGCTCCTCTAGGGCCGCCCCCCAGTCACCTAGCAACCAGCTCACTGCGCCCAGGGTCAGGTCAAGGGACAGAAGGATCAGAAGCTGGAGGGGGACAAGAGCATTGCAGTGGGTTCAGATTAAAACACAGACAGAGGCACCACTGTCTACAACAGAGTAGATCTTCCACTAAATGTCTACAAACTTACATTTGCAGACTAAGATCATGTGTCAATATCTCTCCATCCCATCAACAGAATAATTTTACCCCAGCCCAGCCTCTGTCCACTGATGACCTACCTGTTTCATAGGAACGTTAGGTGTCGTCTGAGGATTCTCTATGGCCTTCAGTTGTTGGTGAAGAGCTTTGAGTTTCTCTGGGTTGCTGGGGGAGACAGCAAACCCCCTCTCCCACACAGCCCTCAGGGTAGCCAGGAAGCCATCTTGGCTCTTACAGGGAGTAGACCAGGGATGGATGGAGGAACAGGTCCAAGTCACTACGTCTGTCCCTGTTAGACTCACAGTGAGCAACTCAATAGTGCAGTAATGTAACCGGTGGGCCTATAGCAGAGGAGAGGGGGACAGTAGAGATAAAGCATGAAAATCAACACCCATATCTTATCTGACCATCATCTATAGCTAATCAATGGGACTATATATAGTATCTTCATCTATGAGCATCAGCTAGTTCAGGGCAACTTACCAATAGGCTCTCATGTGTGCTGAGGAGTTGCTGTGCTCCCAGCCAATCCTGAGAGGACGCCAGGTCTTTGGCACATCTCAGGGAGAGTGAATAGGACAGGTCGCTTTCACCAACGATCCTCGCCAGACTGGAGGCTGTCTTCAGTGAGATAGGGTCGTTTTTCTTGGCGATTACTTTGGCTGCGTCGAAGCTGGAGTCCACGGCGAGATAACTGGGTGATAAATACACAGCGAGTTCCATTAGCATCAAGTCAGCTATTCCGAGGAACCAGCTTTTACTCTCCCTGCATTGCACAGTGCACTTTTACACCAAGATGCAGTTTTATTAATGAAAATAGGTACATGTTAGAGTCTGTTATTTACCATTTAGCAGCAGTAGAAAAGTGGCCGTCTTTCTCCAGCACGGCTGCCCAGGTGGTGTAGAGCTCCTTGAGCACAGGGTCGTCTGGCTGCAGCCTAGCCTTGGCCAGGGCTATGGCCTCCCTGAGAGAGCACACAAACATTTCACTCACAGCTCAGAGATTACAATGATCACTCCCATTGATAGGTCAGTCACAGGTAACACAACCTAAAATCCTACCACTTAGTAGAAGTTAATTACTCTAATGGATCTTCCTACAACACTAACTTTGTTATTCTTTATTTCATCATTTATGTGTAAAATAAACAGATGAACGTGTGTGTCTGCTGAATAACCTGTAGAGCTGGTGGGACTTGAGGAGGTCGATGGCCTCGTAGACCTTGTTGATTGAGAGAAGATGGGAGGCAGCCTTGAGGAACTGCTCCTGAAGACACAGCTGCTTCACATAGACCTCCACTGTCCTCAGCCACACCTGGTAACCAGCTGAGAGGGTTTCACAAGTACTATTACACGCATGCATGCATGCATACATGCATACATGCATACATGCATACATGCATACATGCATACATGCATACATACATACAGCACTTCACCACAGAGAAACAGATTACTGTGTCAAGGAGCAAGAGAACAAAAACGTATACTATCAGACTAACTAAATTGACAAGTTGGTTGCTGAATCGGAATAACTTAATATTCTAAATATGCATTATAAAATGGAATAAATATGAAAGACATAAAACCATTTCACAATTTAAATGAGTGCTCTTTACCCATAGGTGCAACAGAGAGCAGGTGATCACTCAGCTCTCCTTTCTCAGTGGCCACTTGCAGAGCTCCAGTGATGTCACCTTTCCACAGTCTCAGGTACACTGCAGACTCATAGTGACCAGCCTCCACATGGCCCTCCTCTACAGGATCAAAGAGACACCACAACATAAGGAGAATGGAAGTGACTTGTTAGTCACCTTTTACCCTAACACACATACAGTACCCGTCAAAAGTTTGGACACACCTACTCATTCAAGGGTTTTTCTTTATTTTACTATTTTCTACATTGTAGAATAATAGTGAAGACATCAAAACTATGAAATAACACACATGGAATCATGTAGTAACCAAAAAAAAGTGTTAAACAAATCAAAATATATTTTATATTTGAGATTCTTCAAAGTAGCCACCCATTGCCTTGATGACAGCTTTGCACACTCTTGACATTCTCTCAACCATGAGGTAGTCACCTGGAATGCATTTCAATTAACAGGTGTGCCTTGTTAAAAGTTAATTTTTGGAATGTCTTTCCTTCTTAATGCGTTTGAACCAATCAATCAGTTGTGACAAGGTAGGGGTGGTATACAGAAGATCGCCCTATTTGGTAAAAGACCAAGTCCATATTATGGCAAGGACAGCTCAAATAAGCAAAGAGAAACGACAGTCCATCATTACTTTAAGACATGGAGGTCAGTCAATACGGAACATTTCAAGAACTTTGAAAGCTTCTTCAAGTGCAGTCGCAAAAACCATCAAGCGCTATGATGAAACTGCCTCTCATGAGGACCGCCACAGGAAAGGAAGACCCAGAGTTACCTCTGCCACAGAGGATAAATTCATTTGAGTGGTCTGAAGAGTCCAAATTTGAGATTTTTGGTTCTAACCGCCGTGTCTTTGTGAGACAAAGAGTAGGTGAACAGATGATCTCCGCATGTGTGGTTCCCACCTTGAAGCATGGAGGAGGTGGTGTGATGGTGCTTTGCTGGTGACACTGTCTGTGATTTATTTTGAATTCAAGGCACACTTAACCAGCATGGCTACCACAGCATTCTGCATCGATACGTCTCATGACAATACGCCATCCCATCTGGTTTGCGCTTAGTGGGACTATCATTTGTTTTTCCACAGGACAATGACCCAACACACCTCCAGGCTGTGTAAGGGCTATTTGACCAAGAAGGAGAGTGATGGAGTGCTGCATCAGATGACCTGGCATCAACAATCACCCGACCTCAACCCAATTGAGATGGTTTGGGATGAGTTGGACCGCAGAGTGAAGGAAAAGCAGCCAACGAGTGCTCAGAATATGTGGGAACTCCTTCAAGACTGTTGGGAAAGCATTCCAGGTGAAGCTGGTTGAGAGAATGCCAAGAGTGTGCAAAGCTGTCAAGGCAAAGGGTGGCTACTTTGAAGAATCTATAATATATATTTTGATTTGTTTAACACTTTATTGGTTACTACATGATTCCATGTGTTATTTCAAAGTTTTGATATCTTCACTATTATTCTACAGTGTAGAAAATAGTAAAAATAAAGAAAAACCCGTGAATGAGTAAGTGTTCTAAAACTTTTGAACAGTAGTGTGTGTGTGTGTGTGTATATATATATATATATATATATGCGCGCACACACACACATATATATAAATAACATACATAGTGCACTCGGAAAGTATTCAGACATTTTGTTAAGTTAAAGCCTTATTCTAAAATTGATTAAATTAAATGTTTTCCATCATCAATCTACACACAATCCCCATAATGACAACGCAAAAACAGGATTTTAGCAAATTTATAAAAATAAAAAATAAAGCAGAAATACCTTATTTACATAAGTATTCAGACCCTTTACTCAGTACTTTGTTGAAGCACCTTTGACAGCGATTACAGCCTCTCGAGTCTTCTTGGGTATTACGCTACAAGCTTGGCACACTTGTATTTGGGGAGTTTCTCCCATTCTTCTCAAGCTCTGTCATCTTGGATGGGGAGCGTCACTGCAAAGCTATTTTCAGGTCTCTCCAGAGATGTTCGATCAGGTTCAAGTCCGGCTGGGCCACTCAAGGACATTCAGAGACTTGTGCCGAAGCCACTCCTGCGTTGTCTTGGCTGTGTGCTTAGGGTCATTGTCTTGTTGGAATGTGAACCTTCGCCCCAGTCTGAGGACCTGAGTGCTCTGAAGCAGGTTTTCATCAAGGATCTCTCTGTACTTTTCTCCCTTCATCTTTCCCTCGATCCTGACTAGTCTCCCTGCCGCTGAAAAACATCACCACAGCATGATGCTGCCACCCCCATGCTTCACCGTAGGGATGGTGCCAGGTTTCCTCCAGACATAACGCTTGGTATTCAGGCCAAAGAGTTCAATTTTGGTTTCATCAGACCAGAGAATCTTGTTTCTCATGGTCTGAGAGTCCTTTAGCGGGCTGTCATGTGCCTTTTACTGAGGAGTGGCTTCCGTTTGGCCACTCTTCCATAAAGGCCTGATTGGTGGAGTGCTGCAGAGATGGTTGTCCTTCTGGAAGGTTCTCCCATCTCCACAGAGGGCCTCTGGAGCTCTGTCAGAGTGACCATCGGGTTCTTGGTCACCTCCCTGACCAAGGCCCTTCTCCCCCCATTTGCTCAGTTTGGCCAGGCAGCCAGCTCTAGGAAGAGTCATGGTGGTTCCAAACTTCTTCCATTTAAGAATGATGGGAGGCCACTGTGTTCTTGGGGACCTTCAATGCTGCAGATTTTTTTTGGTACCCTTCCTCAGATCTGTGCCTCGACACAATCCTGTCTCGGAGCTCTACGGACAATTATTTCGACCTCATAGCTTGGTTTTTGCTCTGACCTGCACTGTCAACTGTGGGACCTTATATAGACAGGTGTGTACCTATCCAAATCATGTCCATTCAATTGAATTTACCACAGGACTCCAATCAAGTAGAAACAGCAAGGATGATCAATGGAAACAGGATGCACCTGAGCTCAATTTCGAGTCTCATAGCAAAGGTTCTGAATACAGTGGCCACCATCATTTCTGTTTTTTTATTTGTAATACATTTACTAACATTTCAAAAAACCTGTTTTCGCTTTGACATTATGGGGTAGTGGGTGTAGATTGATGAGGAAAACATTTAATTTAATCAATTTTAGAATACGGCTGTAACGTAACAAAATGTGGAAAAAGGGAAGGGGTCTTAATACTTTCCGAATGCACTCTATATACAACAGCATGTGGACACCCCTTCAAAATTAGTGGAATTGGCTATTTCAGCCACACCCGTTGCTGACAGGTGTATAAAATCGAGCACACTGCCATGCAATCGCCATAGACAAACATTGGCAGTAGAATGGCCTTATTGAAGAGCTGTGACATTCAACGTGGCACCGTCATAGGATGCCACCTTTCCAACAAGTCAGTTCGTCAAATGTTTGCCCTGCTAGAGCTGCCCCGGCCTACTGTAAGTGTTGTTATTGTGAAGTGGAAACGTCTAGGAGCAACAACAGCTCAGCCCCGAAGTGGTAGGCCACACAAGCTCAAAGAACGGGACCGCTGAGTGCTAAAGCGCGTAAAAATAATCTGTCCTCGGTTGCAACACTCACTACTGAGTTCCAAACTGCCTCTGGAAGCAACGTCAGCACAAGAACTGTTCGTCGGGAGCTTCATGAAATGGGTTTCCATGGCCGAGCAGCCGCACACAAGCCTAAGATCACCATGCACAATGCCAAGCGTCGGCTGGAGTGGTGAAAAGCTCACCGCCATTGGACCCAGGAGCAGTGGAAAACTGTTCTCTGGAGTGATGAATCACACTTCACTAATCTGGGTTTAGCGGATGCCAGGAGAATGCTACCTGCCCCAAAGTTTGGTGGAGGAGGAATAATGATCTGGGGCTGTTTTTCATGGTTCGGGCTAGGCCCCTTAGCTCCAGTGAAGGTAAATCTTAACGCTACAGCATGCAATTACATTCTAGACGATTCTGTGCTTCCAACTTGGTGGCAACAGTTTGGGGAAGGCCCTTTCCTGTTTCAGCATGACAATGCCCTGTGCACAAAGCGAGGTCCATACAGAAATGGTTTGTTGAGATCGGTGTGGAAGAACTTGAATGGCCTGCACAGAGCCCTGACCTCAACCCCATCGAACACCTTTGGGATGAATTGGAACGCTGACTGCGAGCCAGGCCTAATCGCCCAACATCAGTGCCCAACCTCACTAATGCTCTTGTGGCTGAATGGAAGCAAGTCCCGCAGCAATGTTCCAACATATAGTGGAAAGCCTTCCCAGAAGAGTGGAGGCTGTTATAGCAGCAAAGGGGGGGTCATGTAGTATATATATTATTATAACAAGTGTTAAAGTGTTAAAAAGTGTGTAATCATTATGAACGTGTAATAACAATCATATAATACAACATAAGATAGCGTCCTCACCCTCCTCCTGGAACATCCTATAGAGGGCGTCTCTGTCTGCGAACAGCCCCAGTTGGATGTGATCTCCCAGGCCTGGGACACAGTTGGCAGGAGGTGCTGAGGACAGACGGGGGGACAAAGACAGGGTCAGAGTCAAACACTGCTCTATGAAGGACAGAAAATTATGACCTGCCTTATCTTTCTGGACCATGTCTCATGAATCTTATGATGCAGACTTAACTAAAGACAAATCCTTGTGCTTTTTTAAAAATATGCTGGCACCTACACATGAAAATGTAGCCAGGAAACAATAGTTGAGTACTTGTTGATTGTATAGGTCAGGGATCCCCAACTGGCGGCCTGCGGGCCGAATTTGGCCCACGGGTGGTTTTATTTGGCCCCCAAAGATTTGAGCAAGAAAACATGACACCAGGAAATCAGCTCCAAGTGATTTTAATTTAAGAAATCTGTTCCCATATATTCCCACGCATAATAGAGACGTGATTGTATACAAATGTAAGAAAGGGTTGAAATGATTATGTTTTAGTCAAACATATCTGTTTGGGCTTCTTGCGGTCAATTTGCAGTCTACAAATTATTTGTAATTACATTCCGGCCCCCCGACCATCCACTCAGGAAAAAAAAAATCTGCCCGCAGCTGAATCTAGTTGATGATCCCTGGTATAGGTCCTCAAAAGGTGTAGCTACATGTCTAATCTTGTGGTATAATCCAGATAAGGATGGATTGATAGTCTCACCCTCAGAGTGCCTGACTGTGGCCAGGTTGAGACAGTCCTGCTGGAGGTCTTCTCTGGGTCGGTGGTCCATGGACGTACTGAGGGGCAGCATGGAGCGAGGCTTCCTCTTCTTCAGAGACACCTCTGGAGGAAAGACCGACCGCAAGAGGGGTTGGAGTGGATGGAGACGGATACTTACACTAGTCATTTAATATAGGGCCCTACGTTTTTCCTGGTTAGGTCACGTGGTCAGGAAAAACTCTGTGCCCTATGAACAATGTTCTTACAGTGTATTTTGATAGGATTCCATAACATACAGTACCTGTTCTCTCCACTTTTTTCATTTCTTTCTTTACAGTGAGTAAGGATTTCCCTCCATTTTGCACTTTATCCATCACTGGTCTGTCCATCTGATTACTGGATGAAGACACTAAAATAAAAGAAAGAGTAGTATGTGTGAGCTGTATGACATGATCATTATTTACTTATTGCGTATGGCAGATGCAATTGAAGGAGATGACTGGATTGAGAAAGACAATGTAATAGTAGATTGGACATGGCTACAGTGCTACCTGTCACTGAGGAGATGCTAGTGGTCTCGCTCCCCCCCTCCTCCTCTTCCTCATTGTCAGACGGTCTTTCTCCTGGTGCCGGGGACGCCCCTCCTTTATTCCCCTCTCCATTTAGAGACAAGCTCTCCTCAGCCTTTGCTCCTCCTTTCCCTGTTGTCTTCTTCTTCTTCTTGGCCTTTAACTTGGCCTTTTGGTCAAGTGTCTTTTTCGCTAAGAAGAGAAAGGCATTTTTACATTTGTATTATCATTAGAACATTATACAATTCATTGCACTCTAAATGTTATGGATCTTTACAATCAAATATATTAAAATGCTCAAATGTTAACCATTTACACAACCAGAAACTTTTTAAAAAGCAACTTTGTGAATAAAACTAGGAGAAAAAAATAAATGTTGTTACCTTTGGGGGGCTTGGTGAACTCCTGCTTGGACACAGCCCACTCCTGCACAGTGAAGTCATCTGCTCCTGTCCAGACCAGGTCCGGGTCCACAGGAGACCACTGGACACACAGCAGCCGGCCCCTGTGGCCCCTGTAGTTACACAGCCCCTCCTCCTTCTGCACGTCCCACACCTGGGGACCACATAGATTATATAGCAAATGAAAGCTATCAAATATAGAACGATTCTATATGTATTGTGACTCGATACTGCGATTTTAATTGCGATTTCATGTTCCAAACATATTGCTCACGATATGTCTGCTGCAGAGAGACAAGAGAGAGCATGATAATAAAAAATAAAAAAAATCAGTCATGGAAATAAAAGTGCTGAAAACATGTTGGCTCACTATTTAAAAAGTGGATGGACAACAAGCTATAGGATGAACTATACCAGAGTTTTGGCACAGGTACAGCCAACTAGTGCTAGCTAACGCTACCTAGCAACAACAAAAAATGAAACTAATCGATACTTGGGAGTCCATGTATAGATATATCGGCCAAAATAATATCGCAATATGTAACTGTATCGATTTCCCCCCCCCCATCACTATATAGAACCACATGGAAGAAAACAGTAGGCACTAGTAAAAGGTGTAAAGGCTGGGTCTGTGTAGCTGTCGTTAGATAAATAACACATTGGGACGGACCTGTGCTGTACCATCGTAACAGACGGTGACCAGTCTCCCGTCGTGGTGGGGGCTCCAGGCCAGGCCGGTGATCTTGGCTGTGTGACCCGTCAGGCTCCGATATGCCTCTGTCATCACAACGGGACTCTCTGGAGGAGTCTCTGAACACATACAAAGAAAAACAATGACCAATAGAAATTTAAATACTGTGAAATTAACCAGAAATTGCTAACCCATGCATAGCTAAACATCTTCCAACAACATTAGTTACCATAGCTACCATTCCCAATAGAGCCCTCTGCTGGCCCACTGCTGCCTCTACACCCCATATTACCCTCACTGCATCATACCTTGAGATATGCACACTTGTCTTTCACACAGATCAGACAACATATCAGTAGAATATTTAAGTTAACACTCAGATCTCAAAATAAGATTCAGCCCTAGAATATACCCCTGGGGAACTCTCCTCACCTATGACAGTGCGGAGGTCGTGGACGTAGACCAAGGCGTTGCTGGACCCAGAGGCCAGTAGGTACTGCAGCTCGGGCAGGGAACTGTGGTCATGGTGCCAGCGCAGCACGTTGATGATCTTATGGTGCTGCTGGATGGTACACAGCAGCTTGAGAGTCGGAGCCTGGTACACCTCTATGGACCTGAAAGAGAGACAAAGCCAGGAAATGTAGTTAGCCCCATTTAATTTCAAGCACTTTGAGACCTAGCGTAAATGGATACATAAATAAAATCTACCACATTACAGTAAAACCATCAGTACAGCTATAGTCTTTCATTTTAGACAGGCACTCAATCATTTTAGATGACAGTTGGTTCCAGGCAATTCTCCAGGCCTATATACACAGTTTAAGGGAATGAGAGGACTCACCCGTCCTCATTGCCGATGGCCACAACTTTACCATCTGGTTTCCAGCTGAGATCTGTGTGGGGTGACAGCTTGTGCTGCAGAAAATAGAACATGACCTTCAAAACCTATTCAAATTACCAACATTATATTCAATTGCACATCGCCACATACAGTGATTGGGTAAAATACTTAAGGAATTATGTCCTGCTGAAAAGGAAATGCATAAATGTAGATATCCTTTCCAACTCACCTTGATGCTGTTGGTGTCCTTGATGACCCTGTCAATGTCTGTGGCCTCTCCTGCCAGTTTCCAGGGGTCATGCTGTAGGATGAGGCCCTCTCCAGCACAGCTATACAGGCTGTAGGACAGACGGTCTCCTGCTCCACCTGGATGACACACTGACTGTTACACACTGTTTCAGCACCCCCTTGTCTCACTTATTCACACAAACACACACACAATCATACTCATCCAGCGTATATTATGGTATATTATCTGATGATCTGATGGTTGCAGAGTCTGATAATACTAATCCGTTAATGATAACCCTCAAGAGGTCACATCTCAATCTCAATGTCCACATGACATTCTGAGCCACCAGCAGGAGGAGCCTTTCCAGTTGAAAGTGTCTAAACAAATTAACAGGTCTTTGTTGGTTTAGAAACCATCAGCAGATCCTTCACACAGGAGCAATTATGTTTACTGCTTCAAAAGACTGAATGACTGATATGGTAATCAAAATGTAATCTGCCGGCAGCTGGTAAAATTAACTTTCACCATCTTGATTTCCCAATGAATGGCTCAGGGAGAGAGGTAATCGTTTTCGCAACTCATTCAATTATGGAGTATATTACAAAAGCGTCAAGAGCTGCATGCTTTCTGCTGACTCATGGCTTTGGCACAACGCCCATCACAGAAGTTGCTGGGTCAGAGGGTTCTCAGCATACAGTACACACACTTTGATAGACTTATTAAGAGCTTACCAAATGACAGAGGGGGGACTGGGGGTCCCCAGGCTAATGTGTACACAGTCTTCCTGTGATAAGTGCTGGATACCTGAGGCGGCCTGGGAACAACACAATAAAGACCATTCATTAACGTCATAACAGATATGAAATGTCATTATCTTGGTGAGAAGTGATGATAATCACTAACAGTATGGATTTGATTAAACCGCCAACATACATTATCTCAGATACTAGAGTTAAGAGAAAGTTGTAGACGAAGTGTTTCTCTTACTTGTTAGAGAAAGCATCGTAAATGCCAACTTTGCCGTCATCGGTTCCAAAAGCTAAGGATCCTTCTTTGGTTGGATGCCAGGACAACTGCAATGAACAAGGAATTGGGAATTGTCACACACACATGCGCTAGCCATCTTCACTTTTACCATAAACCAGTAGACAATAACTGATATCAATATGCCCTAAGAGTCTCTTACCGCTGTGACTTTGGACTTGATGCCCTGCCAGAAGGTCTTGGTGTCGTACTTGTTCTGGATAGAGAGGGTGCTCCACACGCGGATCATGCCGTCTCCCACCCCCAGGGCCATGCAGCCCATTCCCACAGGAGAGAAGGTAAGGGTGTACACAAACCCCCCCAGGGTGGGAAGGGTCCAGCAGCAGTCCAACGACGACAGGTCCCAGCATTTTATCTGGAATAATGATAAGAGAAGCAAATTGAGTGAGAAATTCTTGCCAACATGGATTCTGTAATCACTCTCGGCACATATGCACACTAAGTACTGCTGACAGACTGCATGTTTGACCACTTATAGGGCCCAATTTTGACTTCTCAAAAACTCACACCATACTCAAAGTGTCACTGTTGTCAAAAGAGACATTCAGTAAATTGCTTTAAAGCTGCATCGAGTGTGTTTAACCCCATCTCACCTCTCTGTCCATTGAGGTGCTGAGCAGGAGCTCTCTGTTGTCCTGAACACACACTGAGCTCATGTTGAACACGATCCTGCTGTGGTTCTGGCCCTCTGACGATGTTCCCAACAGGCTCCACTTCTGCTTGCCTCCCTTGGTGAGGTCCCACAAGATCAGCTCACCCCTTCACACACAGGGGGATGTTAGTACAGTCTGGGCAAAATGAATGATCAAAAGACTAAGTATTAGCAAGTTGCAGACTAAATCATATTTATCACAATTAACTTTACCATCCTCAATTATGTTTTTATAGTTCATACCCAAAGCAGCTTGACACGACTTGCGTTGGCTTCCCCTTGGGCCAGTGCACAGTGAGCCAGAGTCTCTCCTTGACTGCAGGATCCACCCCTGTCCCTCTTCTCTTCAGGAATGGTAGCTTCATGGTCATCACACCTGAGAGAGGGAGACAATCATGTTTAACTCCAAGAGATGGGACCCTCTTAAAGAGCATACTGCACCAACTCTCAATAGTAGTATAATATGCATAAATGCTATGGAGGATGCAGGTTGATAACTCAGTTAGGTTGTCGTCTCACCTTTGCCTTTCAGCGTGCTCCAGATTCTTATGGTCTGGTCCTTGCTCCCAGATGCAAGATAACATCCCTTTTCTTTGCCTTCTGTCATCACATTGGTTGTTTCTGAAAATATAATTGTAATAAGTAACAAATTAACAAAGTGCTTCACATCATAACATAACAATAAATACAACAGTACTAACAAAAGAAACAAAGAAAGGAGAATGAAAAAGGATAGCTAATTAAAATCATACATTAAAAGCATCTTTATAAAAGTGTATCTTCAGAAGGGATTTAAAAAGACTCCGCAAGCCTGATCTCCTCTGGAAGACCATTCCAAAGTCTAGGGGCCCTAAAGGCAAATGCTCATTTCGTTTTCAACCTAGACTTTGGAATGGTCAACAGTGCCCTGCCAGAGGATCTCAGGCTGCTTCCTGGCTCCTAGGAGATATAAGATCCGAGATATAGAATGAGGCTAAACCAAGCCTAGCCTTAAACGTGTGTAATACAATTTTAAGCGACTGGTAGCCAGCTAAGAGAAGCTAAAATAGGTGTGATATGGTAATAGATACATTTCCTAGTGCCTGTTAAAAGCTGAGTTGCAGCATTTTGAACTTACTGTAGATGGAGTGATTTCTGACTGAGTTACAGTAATCTAGGCATGAGGAAATAAAAGCATGTATAACTTTCTCCAGATCAGTGACTGAAATAAAATACTTGACTTTAGCTATATTTCTTAGATGAGCAGGACTGGACAACCTTCTTCACATGCAGCTTGAGGTTTAGGTCAGGGTAAAAAAAGGACACCAAGGTTTCTGGCCATAGGCTTTACATTGGTGGACAAAGGGGTAAAATGTATTCTGTTAACCACATCAGCTTTTAACAGGCACTAGGAAATGTATCTATTACCATATCACACCTATTTTAGCTTCTCTTAGCTGGCTACCAGTCGCTTAAAATTGTATTACACACGTTTAAGGCTAGGCTTGGTTTAGCCTCATCCTATATATCGGATCTTATATCTCCTAGGAGCCAGGAAGCAGCCTGAGATCCTCTGGCAGGGCACTGTTGACCATTCCAAAGCATCGCAGTGCTAGCTGTGCCACTAGAGATCCTGGTTCGAATCCAGGCTCTGTCGTAGCCGGCCGCGACCGGGAGACCCATGGGGCGGCACACAATTGGCCCAGCGTCGTCCAGGGTAGGGGAGGGAATGGCCGGCAGGGATGTAGCTCAGTTGGTAGAGCATGGTGTTTGCAACGCCAGGGTTGTGGGTTCGATTCCCATGGGGGCCAGTATAAAAAATGATGTATGCACTCACTAACTAAGTCGCTCTGGATAAGAGCGTCTGCTAAAATGACTCAAATGTTTAAAAAAATGTAAAAAAATCTGATGACTAAAAATAGATAGTCTTCTCATCATGCCACTTGTCACTGACTGAATACATTTAGGATCGCTCGGCACAGCATCTTTCATAACCCACCAGCTGTGTTGTCGTCTGCCCTGCTGTAAAGCACCTCCTCATTGGGCAGTGGAGCCCAGGCCAGGGCGTGGATCTCGTCGTCATGGCCACGGAGACGATGCACCACCTCACCTTTCTTACTGATGTCAATCAGGACAATCATGCCATCTTTGTACCTGAGAGAGATTAAGATACATAACCATATGGAATGTTTTCCTGGGAAGTCATTTGTCCCTGGTATTTGCCTTTCGTGATGCATATAGATGGATGCTGTGAAATGTACTAGGGCTGACCCCAATAATTCGACGGGTCGATTGTTTGGGCGATAGGATGTTGGTCGACCGAGATTTTTTTTGGTTGAGCAGTAGCAAATATATATATTTTTTAAATGGCACACGAGACACCTGTCTTATTCGCGCCCATCTCAGTGACCTAATCCATTGTGGAGGCTGAGGGGATGCCACAGTTCCAAGAAGAAGGGGTGTGGCTGCACAATGTACGTCGCTCTCCAGAATGTGCTCTCCCGCCATTTTGTGCACATTCATTGTTTCATAACTTCATTGTGTGAATTGTTCGTGTTTGATTGTTAGTGTCTATCAATTCCCCATTACATATGTGATATATGTAATGGTAGTACATTTACCGTTAATTCCTATAACTTCTAATCTACAATGTTTGTTTGGTTACGGTAATGTCTGTCAATGCATCCAATATATTATTACTCCAGTCTTTTAACGTTCTCATTGTCAGAGTGGACACGTTGTTTGCAGAGTGCACAACCTATGCTACACTTGTGAGAAACAAGTTTTGTTCATTTCATTCCATTTATGAGTTTTGTCAATTTAGTCATTGTCTTTTGTTTGGAGCGCTCCTGTCAATGTTGAGTAAGGACGCGCACCTGATTGCGCATAGAAGTAGCCCTATAGGCTACCTGGACTGCCCGCAAATGTAGGAATATAAAATGTGTCCATTTGGGGATCTGATAGTGGTGGTGCATTAAGCCAGACATACTAATGAGCTGTCGAGCTTCTCAAAGTAATATTTTCTTCACCTCAAACAGCAAGCAAACAAAGTCTGTTTTTACATCCATTGAGAATGACAATAACTCCTCAATGTATTTGAAAAATCGTTCTAGCTCTCTCCCCCTTTCGATAATCACTCAGCATGAAAGGGAAAAAAATATAATGCTCTGACCCAGTGGAATCTTCATAAAATAGGCCTACCTGATTACTTCTTATCCCTTGCACAAATAGCCTACAGCTGTGTCTGTCCCGAGCTCACTGGCACGGGAAACTGACGGCCCAGAATAGTTTATACAATGTTGCAAGGAGCTTCAGGCCAGACCCAAGTTAATAGTTGATACAATATTTCAAGTTTGTTGCAGACAGGCCATGCATAGCCAATGTGACTTATAGGATATTTTCTACCTCCAGGCTGCAATGTTTTTATTTGTTGGCTTTATAGGCTATTTTTACATAGTTGGCAATAGCAATAGAAGTTACTTTTTAGGTTTGTATAATTTTCATTTGGATAGAATTTTGATTAACCACATGACAATGATTTTGAGATACGAAGACGTTATTATAAATGAAATGAAACATGTGCATATGAAAACCATAACTAGCATGCAGATAGGTAGAAATTGTAAGATAAATTGTCATTCCACATGAGAAAGTTTGCAGAACTCTTGTGTAGCCTATTACTGGCAACTTCAGGCAGAATTTGTGAAAGCCAGTAGGAACGGGAGGAGGATGGTTGGGACAGGTTAAGTTGTTTTTTTCTTCTGTTTAACTTGATCTCTGGCTCAGTCTTGAGTAATTTGCGTCTTATTTCATCAAACAGTGAGCTTAAAGCATCAGACAAGCTCAATGCATATATAGTTGATTTTATTAAAAAATCTGCGTTTTAAATTTCGACCAATCGATTGGTCGAAAGAACAGACGACTTTCAGTCGACCAAGATTTTTGTTGTTGTTGTGGACAGCCCTAAAATGTACACTTCTCAGTCTAAGAAATTATTGTGCATGCATGCACCACTAGAGGTTAAATCTCCTACCCCACAGCAACGTAGTGCCAGTTGTGAGGGGAGCAGGACAGGCAGAAGATATTCCTTGGTTCGGGGAAGAAGCTTTGAGATTCACCAGTGTTGTACCAGTAGCAGACCACAATGCCCTTCTCATCCCCTGACACCACAAGGTTCTTCTCTCCGGGGGACCAGTGGAGGGCTGTGATGGTGTTCTGTGGGCCAATGACATAATAGACTTAGATACAATACTTTGAAAAACTATATTTAGAAAAGTAATCTTATACCTGGGAGAGACAGACAAGATGCAATCAACACAATTCTAAAAGGACTCTTAGTGGAACTAACCTGGTGAGTTTTATGCTCCTTTACAAGGACCATCTCATTTGTGTCCCAGAATTTAACAGTCCCATCATCAGAGGTACTGGCACAATTATGGCTTTGGCCGGCATGCTGGCAGAATGAGAAGCCAGACACTCTCTCTCTGTGACCAACCAGTTCACCTGAAAGCAAGACAAATTAGAACAGAAATTAGCCATGTTGATATGGTACATATCCACTTACTGACTTCTAGAACACAAAATGGCTGATATAAGAAGAATAGGATACTTACCAACAACTGTAGAGGATGATGCTCTAACGTCAACCAAATATATGGTGTTTTTAGCTCCAAACGCCAATATACCTTTGTCATTCGTGTCACTGCATCGCGAACAGTACCAGTTCGGAGAGGCTGGAAGAAGTCTTTCGTGCATTGTGAAATAATTAGTCGACATTCAGAATCTTAATTAATATACAATAAATCAAAATCTATTCACATCACTGAGGTATAAAGAACAATTCACAAGCACATGTCTTATTCAAGTGCAGCATTCATGCTGCATCATAAACAGAACGAAAGCCGTATGATTTACCAAATTGTCGTAAAAAGTACGGAATCTGAAAAGGGTTAAACTATATCAGTTTGCTGGCAAAACCTTTTTTTTTCTTCGAATTTTATAGATTAATTTTGTTCTTATGATTATTTAATCCACTATGTTTTATCAGATCATATTTGTATATAAATATTATGCATTTTAACCATTGACTGTATATGAAGATTTTAACAATGATAAAACGAGACCACACCAAAGACAGCCCAGTAAGAAAATAGGCTAAAACCAGAGTTTCTCAACCCAGAGGCGCAACATCCTGAGACTTTAGGGAACGCTTGAGAAACAGACCAAACAGACCAGGCCACGGGTTGGGGTTTGAGAAGTCAATAAGATAAGTGAAAAAGTATTCCTTAGTTGTAATTTTCTCAAAATCTAAAGGTACAACCTAGATTCGAGCCAATATCTTAAGTAGGTGAATATGTTATTACTCCAACCTTGGGAAAGTGACAAACTAACACGTTTTCATTTTTGTAAAAAACTACTTTATATAGAAGGAGTGCCTTTAATTTGACAGCCTGCACATGCGCAGTTTAGTGCGAGACGGCCATTAGACCCGATTACGTATTTCTAAGCATGAGTTTACCTAGCCAACGTCGCCATGACATCACCTACATGTTTTCTGTTGGCTGCATTTCCTTCACTCTGCCATCCGACTCATCCCAAACCATCTCAATTTGGTTGAGGTCGGGGGATTGTGGAGGCCAGGTCATCTGATGCAGCACTCCATCACTCTCCTTCTTGGTCAAATAGCCCTTACACAGCCTGGAGGTGTGTTGGGTCATTGTCCTGTTGAAAAACAAATGATAGTCCCACTAAGCCCAAACCAGATGGGATGGCATATCGCTGCAGAATGCTGTGGTAGCTATGCTGGTTAAGTGTGCCTTGAATTCTAAAAATAATCACAGACAGTGTCACCAGCAAAGCACCCCCACACCATAACACCTCCTCCTCCATGCTTTACTTGAACTATGTGAAGCATTTATTTGGGTTGCAATTTTCTGATGATGGTAACTCTAATTAACTTATCCTCTGCAGCAGAGGTAACTCTGGGTCTTCCACTCCTATGGTGGTCCTCATGAGAGCCCGTTTCATCATAGCGCTTGATGGTTTTTTGTGACTGCACTTGAAGAAACGTTCAAAGTTCTTGAAATGTTCCGTATTGACTGACCTCCGTGTCTTAAAGTAATGATGGACTGTCGTTTCTCTTTGCTTATTTGAGCTGTTCTTGACATAATATGGACTTGGTCTTTTACCAAATAGGGCTATCTTCTGTATACCCCCCCTACCTTGTCACAACACAACTGATTGGCTCAAACGCATTAAGAAGGGAAGAAATTCCACAAATTAACTTTTAAGAAAGCACACCTATTAATTGAAATGCATTCCAGGTGACTACCTCATGAAGCTGGTTGAGAGAATGCCAAGAGTGTGCAAAGCTGTCATCAAGGTAAAGGGCGGCTATTTGAAGAATCAAATATAAAATATATTTTGATTTGTTTAATACTTTTTTGGTTACAACATGTGTTATTTCATAGTTTGGATGTCTTCACTATTATTCTACAAGGTAGAAAATAGCAAAAATAAAGAAAAACCCTTGAATGAGTAGGTGTTCTAAAACTTTTGACAGGTAGTGTCTTCATACTGTACTGTCGTTGACGAGACTGTCCTCTTGCCGTAAATCAAAATGTGTTGACGACGTAAAAAAACATGGCGACCTCCGTAATTGCAGGGGGTGATAAATCGAATACAATTTTACTTGAAATGCCACCCCATACAGAACCAATCAGTCGATATAATCGAGAACTAGCATCATAAATCACGTGATATGAATCAGACAGAGGGGGTGGGGCGCTCAACGTTTCATATCGTAATTTCCGATTAGGCAAAAATCATCAACCACGGCTGTAATTACACCCCGTATAAATTGGTGGCGGTAATGACAAATTGTATTGTACTGTAACTAAAACTAGAAGAAAATCTTCTGACGTCCTTTCCCGTCGTCAAAGGTAGGTAATCGCATTATTTTTTAAACTGTGATTTACAAAGCTAATATAATGGATTTTAAAAAGTGTTTTTACCCCGGGATAGCCCGCTAAATGACCCATAGTAGTAAGGGAGAACATTTATTGAGTGCAAATCGATCAGAATATATAGTCGATTTCACTAGTAATGTTACACTTTCTGGTATGGATTTAAACTCCCTCTAGCCAATGCTTACACCATTCCTATCATTTTAAATCCATGACAGGGAGTGTCCAAGTGCACACTTCTGACAAAGCAAAAACATGTTTTTAGATAAACTGAAATATCTCATTTACATATGTATTCAGACCCTTTACTCAGTACTTTGTTGAAGTACCTTTGGCAGCGATTACAGCCTTGAGTCTTCTTGGATATGACGCTACAAGCTTGGTACACCTGTATTTGGGGAGTTTCTCCCATTCTTCTCTGCAGATCCTCTCAAGCTCTCAGGTTGGATGGAGAGCGTTGCTGCACAGCTATTTTCAGGTCAATCCAGAGATGTTAGATCGGGTTCAAGTCCGGGCTCTGGCTGTGCCACTCAAGGACATTCAGAGACTTGTCCCGAAGCCAGTCCTGCATTGTCTTGGCTGTGTGCTTAGGGTTGTTGTCCTGTTGGAAGGTGAATCTTCGCCCCAGTCTGAGGTCCTGAGTGCTCTGGAGCAGGTTTTCATCAAGGATCTCTCTGTACTTTGCTCCATTCATCTTTTCCTCGATCCTGACTAGTCTCCCAGTCCCTGCCGCTGAAAAACATCCCCACAGCATGAGGAGTGACTTCCGTCTGGCCACTCTACCATAAAGGCCTGATTGGTGGAGTGCTGCAATGATGGTTGTCCTTCTGGAAGGTTCTCCCATCTCCACAGAAGAACTCTGGAGCTCTGTCAGAGTGACCATCGGGTTCTTGGTCACCTCCTTGACCAAGGCCCTCCTCCCCCGATTGCTCAGTTTGGCCTGGGCGGCCAGCTCTAGGAAGAGTCTTGGTAGTTCCAAACTTCTTCCATTTAAGAATGATGGAGGCCACTGTGTTCTTGGGGACCTTCAATGCTGCAGAAATGTTTTGGTATTCTTCCCCAGATCTGTGCCTCGACACAATCCTGTCTCGGAGCTCTTCGACCTCATGGCTTGGTTTTTGCTCTGACATGCCCTGTCAACTGTGGGACCTTATATAGACAGGTGTGTGCCTTTCCAAATCACGTCCAATCAATTAAATGTACCACAGGTGGACTCCAATCATGTTGTAGAAACATCTCAAGGATGATCAATTGAAACAGGATGCACCTGAGCTCAATTTAGAATAAGGCTGTAATGTCACAAAATGTGAAAAAAAAAAAAAATGTATGCACGCATGACTGTAAGTCGCTTTGGATAAAAGCGTCTGCTAAATGGCATATTATTTATTATTTAAAGGGGTCTGAATACTTTCCGAATGCACTGTATGTCCTTAAGCGTGAAGGTGCTCTTGATCACTCGCTTTAATAAATTAAATGACTGGTGGAAAATCCCCCTATCCTTTGTTTACGCCAATCAAATGAGATGACAATTGGGATGAAAGGAACAGATAGACAAAGTCATGACCCAATGTGGTGTCATGACTCTCCCTGGGTGAGGATCAAAGGCCTCACATCAGCTTGGCAAATGGCCGACAACATCCAGACTCCCTTACACACAGGGGGGCTGTGCCAGTCTTGACACCTTAATACTGCCATAAATTAGAGAGGAGGATAATCTATCTCTGGCATTCTAGTATGGTGAAAGGAATGCCTTTGTTTCAGAGACCTTTTGCCTCCCAAAAACTTCAACATCCAACAATGAACATTGGGACAATATATTTCAACATCCAAACGTTGGGAATGATGAGAAATGGAATATGGAAAATTAATGTATATTTTGTGATGTCATTAAAAATGGTATAAAGGCGTTTATAACGAAAACACTGTGACTTGAGGAGCTTTTACACTGTGTATATCAGGATTACATCCTTTACCTTGTGTAGAAAATATCAAGGAGGAAGACAATGTTTTCATGAAGATAGGAATGTGATTTAAGCTTTCTAACAAAATCATAGTGATGATAATACTTTTGCTTCGTAACTAGCCACGCCTGAGGGAGCTCAGAGAGCGTGTCAGTATGACGGAAACACCCCTCTTTACCAGAGTGCATAAAAGATTGAGATAATAATTATCAGATCAGACTAGACGGACCTCAAGCTGCAGCTTTTGTCCAAATTGGTCCCGACCCTGAAAATCAACATGAGGTGAAGACGACAAAGTTGCCTCAACTAACATTCAATGTTACGGCTGAGTAGCTGTTCTAAGTACTGTATCTAAGAAGGTGAATTTAAGTGGGACCATCCTGTTACTCTCTTCAAACTATCGTCTACTACACTACTCTCATCACCCCACAGGGGATCATCAACATGGCTGATTAGCCGTCCTCAGAAGACCACTTCCAGAACGAGTGAAAGTAAACAGACAACTAAGAAGAAGGACATTGTGACCTCTTGTGGACAATCTGAGCCTTACATCTAAAAGGCCATCTGAAAGAGAAGGCCCAATCGACCCCCTTCCCACGAAGGCCTGGGTCCAACAGAGATACACGACGAAGACCTCCAACATGTAAATACATGCATTGCTTTTCTTCCCAAACGGGCGGCAGTTCCTGGCAAAGTATTAGGATTACTGTGAGCATAGGTCCATGTGTATCCAAGTGTTTTCTCTCTCTCTCTCTCTCTCTTTAACTCACCATCTTATGTAACAAGTGTCATATTGTGTTAGTCCGCTAGGGACCCGTTTTCATCGCACAATTGGCCCAGCGTCGTCCAGGGTAGGGGAGGGAATGGCCGGCAGGGGATGTAGCTCAGTTGGTAGAGCATGGTGTTTGCAACGCCAGGGTTGTGGGTTCGATAAAATAATGTATGCGCTAACTGTAAGTCGCTCTGGAT